TTGTATCACAATAGTCAGTCTAAACAAATTTCGGAACTTTTTTTTTTTTGTCAGAAAATCAAATCAAAATTAGCCCCATTTTTTTTTCTCCTTTTTTAAACATCTGATTGGACATCTTTTCAAAACTAAGAACATGATCATCCAAAGAAGGAATAATTATGACTGGCTGTGAGTAAAAACAGTAATCTTGAATTTTTTCAGAAAATTTATGGAAATTTTCTTGCAAGCAAGCGGCCAGCTTGGCGTAGGAAGCGACCGCTGATAAGTCAAGGCAACGTGACATGTATAAAAGTGTGTCTAAATACCAAGTGTATCAAGTTTTAACTGATTTCATCGGGACATTGCTATGAGGGGCCGCATGCAACTTAAAGCAATCTCCTTCTGAGGCATCAGAAAATATTTTTTTATATTAAGGTCTTTAAAATTATAGTCCATGAAACTCTGAATCAGAAATTTATTTCACTGTGTTCATGAGAATTGGTATCTTCAAAGAATTTTTCACGTTTTTTCTATGGAAAAAATTATGTTCCTTATTATTTTCTTTCGTAAAATATTTTTTCTGAAATAGATGAAAATAAAGAACTTGATACCTGATGAAAAAGAACATCTAATTGAAAAATATTTTACTGTGCATATTTCATGCGAGACAGATACATAGAATTTATATACTATACACATTTAAAGACACAGATTTATTCCTCACTTTGCCTTTTCTTTTGGAACATGACAAAAATAGAATGTCAGAATATCTTTCAGGCAATGTTAACAAATGCACACAGCTTTCTGACTTATAGAGTTATAGTACTTTGATACATGAATTTTAGATATGATGTTTATCTGTTGAAAGAAATCACATGGAAGTATTGTCACAGCAGTGTTTTCAGAGCTGAATTTGTGGAAGCTGTGTGCATTGTTTAAATTATTGCTACATATATTACATTTAAACTCTTTCATGGTTAATATAGAACTTATGAAGTCTGTGAGATTTTGTTGCAAAATTTTTTTTTTACGGGGAAACATAAATTGTGTAAAATTTCAGAAAAGAAAAATTCTGTGGGATTTATTCAAAATTTTATTTTTATTTTTTTTCAGTGACAAACTTGAAAATTATTTCACAGACTAGTATTAGTTAAAAATTTGATAAAAAAGCAAAGATACAGAATGGAAATACAAAGAGAATAGTATTGTCTCATTCTACGTGATGTTCCAAATTTGCCCGCTCTGCGTAGGTTTGTTGGGAGACATGCGCGTCCTCGCTGGCGATCTTCTAATATTATGTGCCGTATGTCTTATGTTCTTCAATTTTCCATTTCTAGGCCTGTTACCTTAAAGCAATAGAAACACAGCCAAACTTTGCAGTAGCCTGGAGTAACCTTGGTTGTGTGTTCAATGCCCAGGGAGAGATTTGGCTGGCAATACATCATTTTGAAAAGGTATGATTGATTTAAACATTGAAACTGTAATAGTTTATATTGAACAATGCTATGAAATCATATTTATTAAAAAAATGAGCATTTCTTATGAATTTTGCATTGTCTACAAGGACATCAAATATTGAATTTTTGCATTTTCATTTTGATAAAACAAATGATTCAAAGCTGCTGTTTATGTTCATGTAGTTATATTTTTCTTATAGGCTGTAGCATTAGATGCAAACTTTTTAGATGCCTATATAAATCTAGGAAATGTTTTGAAAGAAGCCAGGATATTTGACAGGTAAGAAATATTTTTATAGAAACAGATATTTTTATAGAAACATTGTTTTACCCTAAAGAGTTAAAAGTGACAGGAGTTTCTTTCATGAAAAAGTTGAACATTATGAGAGAATTTTATGAGGAATTTAAAGCTACAGATCTTATGGTGATATGAAATTTTTAACTTTAACCCCAAGTCCTTATGAGTAAATATTCTCTTTAACTATAATTATATATAATTTATGATTCAGTGAGAACATTTAAATTCTTTTCATTTTTAACAAATGCGGGCAAAGGTAGAAAGCAAACATTCAGTTTTAAAGTATTTGAAGCAAAACTTTTAAAGAAATTTATTTTAGTGTGGTATTTTTGTATTTTCAGTAGATATAATGTCATGTTAAGTTTCTATAGTTATAGAGTATTTTTGTTGTTTTTAGGGCTGTAGCATCATATTTGAGAGCTCTTAATCTGAGCCCCAATCATGCTGTTGTACATGGTAACCTGGCATGTGTTTACTATGAGCAAGGGTAAGTGCTGGTAAAATACCTTATTTTTTTATACAAAAAAAATTGATGGGATTTCTCTATGATTAATATTGTGCTTGTGAAAGTCAATCAATGTAAGTTATAAATACTACAAAGATGGATGTAGAAAATTGAATGGTCACAATTTTTTATTTGACCCTTCACCTGCTGAAACCATATGTGAACTAGAATAGAGCCAGATCAGTCTGTACATCTGTAAATAGTAATTCCTTGGCTATAACTTTATGTTGATCTCTGTAAATGGAAATTTTTATACATGTATGGACTGATTAAATGGTAGTGATTACCTAACAATTTGAGCTGTAGTTTTAATGAATTTTAATGTAAATAAACTGAAGATATTTTGTATTGAGATAGTTGCTTACTATTTAATACCTATTTTGCAGGTTGATTGATCTTGCCATAGATACATACAAAAGGGCGATAGAACTTCAGCCTAACTTCCCTGATGCTTACTGTAATCTAGCAAATGCCCTCAAAGAAAAGGGAAAGGTACTTAATCAAATTGTTTTATATCTTTTCAACAAATCAACAATATAAAATGTAGAGATTCATAAATCAAATTGAATTATGTTAAATATTTTATATCATTTATGTTTCAAATAACTTAAAGAAATGGAAAAAAATATGTTGATGATAGAGAAATCACTGTAGTAGAAATTGTATTGAGTAATGAGCTTGATTAATGCTTGTGAATAACTTTGTGTAGATATAAGTTGTTTGATAATCATTAATTTGATATTTTTTCTAACAGGTTCAAGAAGCTGAAGAATGTTATAATACAGCTTTAGCTCTAGCCCCTAACCACTCTGACTCGTTAAATAACCTGGCAAATATCAAACGTGAGCAGGGAAACACAGAGGAAGCTGTACGTCTCTATTTGAAGGCCCTGGAAGTGTTCCCAGAATTTGCTGTGGCACATTCTAATCTAGCTAGTGTACTTCAACAACAAGGGAAACTTCATGAGGCTCTGTTACACTACAAGGAAGCAATTAGGTATGCTCCATCTGTAGGACTATTTTAAATAAAGAAAATATTTTCATGTGCATTATGTCGTTCAATAATCTTTCCAGTTGTCTGGGTAGACTACCAGACAATTTCCTAATACCATATGGCTTTTTATTTTCCAACTGAAGAAAACAAGTTCTGATGGAGTGACTATTCTCAAAATAGAAACATCCTCTGAAAATGGATTATTTATATTCATATTATTTATATCTTATTTTATTAAGACAAATTTGTGTGAATTTACTTTTATGATATATTTCAGATTGTCTTATTATAAACTCTTACTATTGTCTCTTTTAAGGAATATCTGTGATGAATGACATTCACATCTTAAAAGTTGTAAGTTTAGTTTCGTTAAAGTTGTGTTTCATGTTTATATTTCAGAATTTCACCAACATTTGCCGATGCATATTCTAACATGGGTAACACATTAAAGGAGATGCAGGATGTGCAGGGAGCCCTTCAATGTTATACTAGAGCTATACAGATCAATCCTGCATTTGCTGATGCCCACAGTAATCTTGCCTCTATACACAAGGTAACTTTGATTTTATAATATGTAACAAAATTAGGGTTATGCCTGAAATCAGGATTTTTTTAAATCCGCCTTTTTCCACATACTTGTATAACTGTTAACGAAATTGCTATATACAGGATCAAAATTTTACTAATCTCTAACTCATTATTGTATTCTTTCTTTGCTACATTTCACAAGACAGTTGATTATATTAGTTAACTGGTCAATATGTACTAGCATATAGTTGGTATCCATATTTTACAGTGCATTATTAGCGAATTATACAGATTACATAATATTTCTGATACGGCTCAAATATGAGCATTGTATTTAAGTTAAGTATTTTTAGCAGGTCATTTCTCAAGAAAAAGTTGAGCTCTTTTATTTGCAGTGGCATCTTTATGTTCGTTGTTGTGCAAAAACTTCATCCTAGCCCATTATTCAAACATTTTAAAAGTTATCAACATGAAACTTTAAATAGTTCTTTATCATGACAAGATGCAGTTGTTAGACAAGGGGCATAATTCTGAAAGCAATATTTTTGAAGTTATGCCCCTTTCTAACTTAGCTTGCTGTGCTCTTGACTTTTAAGCATACAAAGTTTTAGATTTGTCTGCTCAACAGCTTTTTAGCTTTGATTATTGTTTGATATCAATTAACTCTCTGTTATTTTAAAGGTATTGATTTTCATCTTATATTGTTGTACAATTTTTCCTACAGGATTCTGGTAACATCCCAGAAGCCATACAGTCGTACAGAACAGCCCTGAAGTTAAAACCAGAGTTCCCAGATGCTTATTGTAATCTTGCTCATTGTTTACAGGTATATATTTGTTGTACTTAGTAATAGTTAACTTGTATGTTATAGCTTTACTGCAAATACCTATCTTTTCAAGAGCAGAACAGACATTTTATTAAGAGTTGTACAAAGAACATAATCTACAATACATTATAAGCACATAAGTAATAGCTGCATTCACTTATTGTAATGAAATATATTTTCAGTATATTCTTCTACCTAAAAGTTGTTTTTTTACAATCTGTAATATTAAAATTGTTAAATCAGACAGCAAATTAATAAGCAAACTTTCTGATTTTAATCTGGGTATTAAGTATCTTAATACTAGAATTTCATAGTTCTGCTTATGCGAAATGTGACTACTTTTACATATATTGTTGTCATGTATATTTTTATTGAATGTTGTTATATTAGTTGATTTATTATCGTTTAGATTGTGTGTGACTGGAGTGAGTATGAGGAGAGAATGAAGAAGTTAGTACTGATAGTTGATGAACAGTTAGAGAAGAATCGTCTCCCCTCTGTACATCCTCATCATAGTATGTTGTATCCACTAAAACACGAGATGAGGAAGAATATAGCCGGGAGACATGCTAATCTATGCTTAGAAAAGGTAACATATATTTCACCAATATTGATTGGTTTTCATCTCTTTATTATCCTTTCTTAAATTAGAGGATAAATACACCATTTTTATGCCCCTGCCATATAATGGCAAGGGCATATAGTGTTACCCTGTTCCGTCATTCCGTCATTCCGTCCTTCCGTCATCATCAGTTTCCGTTCATTATCTTAATAACCGTTGCACATATTGAACTCAAATTTGACATATAGATATGTCATGAGAAAATACAGGTCAAGTTCGAATTTGGTCATGGTTTGATGATTTTTGGCAGAGTTATGCCCCTTTTACTTTGAAAATAATATGAAATTTTCAGTTTCCGTTTATTAACTCCCCAATCGTACAACACATTCAACTCAAACTTGACATATGGATGCGTCAAAGGAATGCGCAGGTCAAGTTTAAATTTGGTCATGGTTTGATGATTTTTGGCAGAGTTATGTCCCTTTCACTTTGAAAATAATATGAAATTTTCAGTTTCCGTTCATTATCTCCCCAATGGTACAACACATTCAACTCAAACTTGACATATGGATATGTTAAAGGAATGCGCAGGTCAAGTTTAAATTTGGTCATGGTTCGATGATTTTTGGCAGAGTTATGCCCCTTTTACTTTAAAAATAATATGAAATTTTCAGTTTCCGTTTATTATCTCCCCAACAGTATTACACTTTCAACTCAAATTTGACATATGGATATATTTTTGGAATGCGCAGGCCAAGTTCATTATCTCCCCAACGGTACAACACATTCAACTCAAACTTGACATATGGATATGTCATGAGAAAATACAGGTCAAGTTCAAATTTGGTCATGGTTCAATGATTTTTGGCAGGGTAATGCCCCTTTCACTTTGAAAATGATAATTAATTATGAAATTTACAGTTTCTGTTCATTATCAACCCAACAGTATTACATATTCAACTCAAAATTGACATATGGATATGTCAAAGGAATGCGCAGGTCAAGTTGGAATTTGGTCATGGTTCGATGATTTTTTGGCAGAGTTATGTCCCTTTCACTTTGAAAATAATATAGATACATCTTAGGAATAAGCAGTTTAAGTTGGAATTTGGTCGTTGTTCAATGATTTTGGACAAACTAATCTTTCCTGAATGTTGGAAAAATTTTGAACTTTCAGTTTCAGCACTCATACTTTTGTGGAAATGTATATAGCCATTATTTTGGCTACAAATATGCAATATGCTATTTTCAAAAGGTTAAGACTGAATAATTTCAGTGCCTTGAACATTGTATAAAAATGGTTTGTGTTAACATTGAAAAGTTTTAAGGGCTTTGAACATAGAATGAAAAAAATAATTTGTGCAAACAAATTTGGAACTAAATATAACATTTGAAATTTTGGCTGCATGCGGGGGCATCCGTGGCATGATGACACATTTCTAGTTGTATTATGAAAAATAGTTTTCTTCTTAATAGATAAGAAGGTTAATAGAAAGAAAGATTTCTTTTGCAGTTACTTGTACATGAACTTTGCAACTGAAAGTCAGAAAATTATTTAATTAAAACCTGTATTAAATTCTGAGTTGTGTATTTTCAGATAAATATATTACACAAGCCACCATACGAGCATCCGAAAGATTTGACTGTAAGTGGTGGAAGATTGAGGATTGGTTATGTAAGCTCTGACTTTGGTAATCATCCAACATCACATTTGATGCAGAGTATACCAGGGCTACATGATAAAGATTCTGTTGAGGTATACAGTTTTTCATTCTTATCAATCATTTTATAAGAATTTTCAAATTTGAGGAATATTGTAAAAATGAAAAGTTATTCATAGTTTTTGTGTTGTTTTGTTGTTGTTGTTTTTTTGTAAAATCTATAGCACTGATATTTTTCTCATATTAATATCATTTGTCTCTTCTGTGAAAATAAGAAAAAAATAATGTTCTGCTGTAATTAAGTTTTTAATGTTTTAGACCTGCTATTCACATTAAAATGCTCTGATCATAATGCTTCATTATATTGAATATTTCCTTCATATACATCATCAGTATCACATAAACTAACTATAGTGCATTTGTATTTGTTCTAATAAAGCCTTATAAAGCCTAATATTTTACATATTTTGATCATTTGAAATGATGACTGAACTTCCTTGTCATTTGTTGTTTCTGCAGGTATTTTGTTACTCGCTTAGTGCAGATGATGGTACGAATTTCCGAGCCAAAATTTCTAGGGAAGCTGAACATTTTGTAGATTTGTCCCAGATACCATGCAATGGTAAAGCTGCAGATCGTATCAACTCTGATGGTATACATATACTAGTCAACATGAATGGTTATACTAAAGGAGCTAGAAATGAACTATTTGCATTGAGACCTGCACCTATCCAGGTAAGGTTTAATTATGGAAATTTTATTTATTTTTGTGTGCAAGTTGGTATGTCCAAAACTACTTATGGGAATGAGTCGACACTTATTTGCAAGCATCACAGAAGGTCACTTTCCAAGGACCACACACTTGATGAAATGCATAATAGGTCACATTCCAAGGATTATAACTCTAACATGGATTCTAACAGAATTATGGCCCTTTATACAGGTTCTTGTTTTACCATCAATCAATGAGAATAATTGAGCAGACTGACCTTCTGACAGCTCTGTTTATTTATCAGCATGGTATTTGTTACAATCAACTCACTTTTGTTTTAAAGCCTGGTAATGTTATGTATTCATGAGTTTATTTAATGGTATTGTTTTATTGATCACAGGTAATGTGGCTAGGTTACCCTGGTACGAGTGGTGCACCATTCATGGATTACATTATCACAGACCGGTTCACATCTCCAATTGAAATAGACATGCAGTATTCAGAGAAACTGGCCTACATGCCAGACACATTTTTCATTGGGGACCACAAAAACATGTTTCCACATCTACTGGAGAAGATCCTTATCAAACAAGATGAAGATCAGCTTTTCAAGGACAATAATATAGTCCTTAATGGAGTCAATTTACAAGCCATGAAAGATGCCGTCCAGTGTAAGGTAAGAATATTATGGATGAAAATCATGTTTCGAGTTATCAAACTTACTAGATTTTTTAATGGTATAATGTTGAAAACTAATTGATTTGCTCCATGAAAATGGTATTTAGGGCCTTGACCCTTAGTTCTACAAAACAAAACAACAAATATTGGCCCTTAAGTCCATTTGGAAGAACTTCAGTTTGTCAGTTGAAATTAAAATAAAAAGTTGCATAGGTCAAAGTGTTTTAATTTTTGATATTTTTAGCTTGAAGAGATTTCTTGAATGATCTTCATGTTATGGAAACTTGAGGTGTTTATTGAATGTTATTTACGATGACTATTTTACAGACTGTAACTGTACGTTGTGCACCAGGGACAACTACAGATGAGGAGAATGGGGAGCCGGGTACCGTGACGTATCAAACTGTAGTTGTCCAGGTGGGACATGTTCTAACACAGATGATGCAGAGTGGATTATCTCATGCTTTAGTGAATGGTGTCACTATACAAAATGGTGTAACCACCCAACAGGTAAACTAGTTATAGTTAAACAAGATCAGGTATATTTGAGCCGCGTCACTTCAAAATCAACATAGTGCGTTTGCGACCAGCATGGATCCAGACCAGCCTGCTCATCTGTGCAGTCTGATCAGGGGATCCATGCTGTTCTCTTACAAACCCTTAAACAAGTAGAGAAAGTGATAGCGAACAGCATGGATCCTGATCAGATGGCGCGGATGCGCAGGCTGGTCTGGATCCATGCTGGTCGCAAATCCATTATGTTGGTTTTGTCGTGACGCGGCTCATTTAGATGTTGTAACTTATTATTTCATACAAGGCAGTTTTTTTAACAAACGATCCAGCTCCAATGAGAGATCTTCCAACATTTTTAACCAGAGTTCTTTGGAACTGACCTGACCACATGTCGGTGAAGTGGGGAAGTATTTACAGAGCATTTCATATTAGTCAGTGGTTTTTGCCAATATTGTAATTGTGAGTGAGAATAATGTTTTGGTAATAAGAAATGGGAGGGTTTGTAAAAGATAATACTATATAATTTCCAGGTATGCATTGCTGATAGTGAGAATGCGGACAGCCAAATTTTATTACTCTTACAGACAAACAATAAATGTGCTACTGGAGAAGAAATTCCTGATAACATTATAATCAGTGCGAGATGCCAGTATGGGCTTCCAGAAGATGTTGTTGTGTACTGCAACTTTAACCAGCTGTATAAGATAGACCCTGAGACACTACAGATGTGGCTGGACATTCTGAAGAGAGTACCAAACAGTGTGCTGTGGCTGCTCAAGTTCCCTGCAGTTGGTGAACCAAATATTGTTCAGAAGGCAAAAGATGAAGGGATAGATGCTAGTAGGGTTGTGTTTTCAAATGTAGCACCAAAAGTAGGTAGCTTTAACGTTTTCTTTTTCAAATTTTCATTGGTTTAACTTTTAAAGATGTTGGTTTATAAGTAAGATGTGCAGAGTTGACAAGTGTATATATGATATTATGATGATAAAGTAAAAAAGACGCTATGTCCAACATCATTTATACTCCTTGCTGAACAAATTCATTGACAACGAATTGTGTATTGTTCCGAAGAAAACAGATTGGTACCAGTGCAAAATAATGGAGCACATAATCATTTTCATAATGATATAATTCTGATGAAATTGATATATGTATTTATTCTTGGCTGAATGAGCGTGCATTTGCTCATTCAGGGACTGATAGTGCAGAATTGAATCATTTTGGATTGATTTTAAAGCCTTTTTTTCCAAAAATGAAACACAACTTCATTAAAAGTAATAGTTGTATGTATAGAACAATATTTGGATGTTATGCATGCATATATTATTGCATGTGGTTTTCAGGAGGAGCATGTACGACGTGGACAGTTAGCAGATGTTTGCCTGGACACACCCTTATGTAATGGTCACACAACAGGGATGGATGTACTGTGGGCAGGTACACCAATGGTAACATATCCGGAAGAGACCTTGGCTTCACGTGTTGCCTCCTCCCAACTAAAAGCATTAGGATGTCCAGAACTGATAGCATCAGATAGAGATGATTATGTTAATATAGCAGCCAGACTAGGGACAGATAGAGATTAGTGAGTTTCCTTTATATGTCATATATAATTATCCATAAACATGTCCTCTGTCATTTGTCAACAGGTTTTAGAAATGTCCTCTGTCATTTGTCAACAGGTTTTAGAATAAATTTGTTTTAATATTTGGTGATACAAAATAATGTGATATGAGTGAGAACAAGTTTGTAGCTTAAAGGTCAAGGTTAAACACACATTTTAAAATTTAAAGAAAAAGTAAACAAAAGATTTTAATATTTAAAGAAAAAGTACATTGATAATCCCGTCATTGATTCTATCATTCTTAGATGGATTTTGAAAAATTTAAGCAAAATTTAATGGTACATTAAGAAGACTTGTTAAGCACAAATGCCAGATCAACTGCTAAAAAGATGAAAATTATAATTGGATGTCAAATAGTATATTGATGGTTGTGCCTGGTAATATCTTTATGCATACATTAGATGCTTTTTGTTGAGCATACTCAGAATATATGAAAGTGTTTGTAAATGAGTTTCTTTATTCTTGTAACACTTCTTACAGTAACCATGTCCTTGTTGGTCTAGTTTTATCAGGCATTGTCTGTGTCCAATGTGACAAGTCTTGTTTTAACACCTCACATTCAGGAATTCATTTGTATAACATTTTGTATTATGTTTTCAGTTTACAAGCAATGAGAGCTAAAGTGTGGAAGGCTCGGCTAACCAGTCCTTTGTTCAACTGTTCAATGTATGCAAAAAATATGGAGAAAGTATTTTGGCAGATGTGGAAAACGTGTTCACATGGGGAGCCACCCAAACATGTAACACAAGTCAACTAGTTCATGACAGTTTATTATTGACCCTTTGATTCTGACTTGTTAATCACCTTTTAATAGTGTGTTTCAATTGTACATGATACCCCTAGATTACTCACCACAAAGCTGTACATTTCTTCTTTATAAATAGTGTCTGTCTGTCTGTCTTCTCACCAAGTGTTTATCCAGTATTTTCAGAAAATGTCAGAATTTGTTTTATAGACAATGGAGTACGGTAAAAAATCTATTGCTTATTCATTTTGCTTAGTTTGTTATTTATGGCTGATTTGCTTTATTTCTTAAAAGAATCTGTTTTTGCATGAAAATCTCATTGGCATTAGACTCGAAAAGATTAATTTGAAGTTGATAGATATTTACTAATTTATGAAATTGTGTTGATGGATAGATATACATTGTATGTTACATTTTTGTTAAGATCTTTCCAATAAAATGTTGATTTATTTAAATTTTGATTGTGATTATAGAGTGAGAATCACCTAAAACTATTGTTATTTTATACTAATGACTAGTAGTTGTTTTTTCCCATTATTTAGAACAATGAAAGGAAACATTTTGTAACAATTGAGTATTCTTGCATTTTTCACCAAAAGTTTAATTTGTGCTGTATTAGACAGAATTTGAAGATTTGCAGAACTTTGGACAATATTTTACTGGATTAATGAATCGTTGAAAATTTAAAATATTGTTATTTTTGTTAAGAAGCCAATGTAATAGCTGCCTTACAGGAATGAAATTTATGTACAAAACAATATTTTACTGATCAACTGAAGTATATTTACAGTCCATACGCAGCTTGGGAGCAAAAATAGAAATCTAGATTTTATGAGTGGCTCAAAATCATGGCTCTGAGGTAATTGCCTCATGAAACCCATTTGAAATTCATATTAAATATAATAAAATTGAATAATACACATGAACTGTGATAATATTTCTTTTGTTTATGCAATGGAATATCTTACCATATTTATGAAATGCAAATTCAAATATTGTATACTAAGTATATCAGTTTATTTTTAATTTCCAACAAGAGTGAAACATTTCCAAATTGACCTTCAATTTATTTAAAGTTAAAGATTGTTTAATGTATTTTTTTTGCTCAACATAGGGTGATTTTTGAGACCCATGTTTAATCCTATTTAAGGTCTTATATAATTATTTACTTATTTATAATTATTATTTATTTACATTTTACTTATTACTACAAAACTATTTTTTTCCAAAATTTTTGGTTTGACTTTCCGTATAAATGTTAGATCTTGGTCAATCTTAATATTTTTTCTCTGCTTTTAGCAAGATTTTCAGTTATTGTATCTTTAATGTTTTGTTTTATCTTTAAACAGAAAAACAAATTGTATCTGCAAATATTTCATAGTAATCTATATAGATGTAAAGATTTTTTTCAACAAATCTATATAGATGTAAAGATTTTTTTCAACTTTTTACAGTGACTGTGTTAGGGTCATTTAAAATTTTATGAAGATATACTGTCACTGCAGTTATTAAACTAGAATTTGTCTTAATTATAAGTTATATGTGCAAGTAATCTTTGTGATGCAGTGCCACCAACTATGCATGCATATTTGTTCCTATAAATACTATATATATAAATTGATTACAAGATTTTCAAATGTAACAGGCAAAAAAACAAAAGACAAATAATTATACTTTTCAAGTCCAGTCAACTCATAAGGAATTGGGAAATATTGTGGTTCATAGTAAATCATACTTGCTGGTAAATGTTTACTTAATAACTACTTAAGCTTTCTTACTCACACTTAACTGTTTAAACTTTTTTTATTCACTCACACTAAACTGTTGATAAATGCCATAGATGTGCTTTTACGGAACATTAAAACAAATGTATGTGTTCATTAAACATTATTTAATTTGGTGTTGTATTTTCTTCTGTACAGATTTATGTGTACACTTTACCTTATTCTAAACTTGATGGAATGAAATTCCTGTGTACAGACCCCCCGATTGTTATATTATATTGGAATAGAAATCATTGTAGATAGGCTAACACTGTATATTGTTGGTGATTTTGTGTGCTTGTTATGTTATTGTAGTTAAGGATTGGAATTGTATTGATCCTGCAAAAAAAATAAAGCATTGTATTTTAATGAAACAGTTTTGACTTTTTTATTTATGTGAAATCAAATATATAGAGGATATTTGTTTGTTTCAGTGTAAGATCGAAAAATATTTCACCGAGTGAACACCAGATGCAATATTTTCCACGAGTGGCGTAGCCACGAGTGAAGAAATATAATAGCTGGGGTTCACGAGTGAAATATTATTTGATCTTACATGTAAAACAAACAAATTTTCTGTTTATTTCATGATTTTTTAACGATTTTTACACCATTTTACTGATTTTTAACCAGGTTTTCCGAAGGAAAAAACTGGTTATTAGATTGAGGTATGTCGGCGGGCGGATGGGCGGGCGGGCGGGCGTTAACAATTTCTTCTGTGCGCAACTCCTCCTACATTTCTCAACGGATTTTGACCAAACTTTCACAGAAGCTTTGTCATCAAGTGCCCTGGCGGCATATTGTCGGGGTTTTTGCCATTGGATAATATTTGACCTAATTATGGCCCTTTGTTGTTTTTTCTTATATAGAATATATAGTGAACAATTTCTTCTGTGCGCAACTCCTCCATCATTTCTCAACGGATTTTGACCAAAACTTTCACAGAAGCTTTGTCATCAAGTGCCCTGGCACATATTTGTCGGGGTTTTGCGATTGGATAATATTTGACCTAATTATGGGCCCTTTGTTGTTTTTTCTTATATAGAATATATAGTGAACAATTTCTTCTGTGCGCAACTCCTGCCTATATTTTTCTACGGATTTTGACCAAACTTTTACAGAAGTTTGTCATCAAGTGCCCTGGCACATATTGTCCGGTTTTGCCATTGGATAATATTTGACCTAATTATGGCCCTTTGTTTTTTTTCCTTATAAAGAATATATAGTGAACAATTTCTTCTGTGCGCAACTCCTCCTACATTTCTCAACAGATTTTGACCAAACTTTCACAGAAGCTTTGTTATCAAGTGCCCTGGCACATATTGTCGGGGTTTTGTGATTGGATAATATTTGATGTAATTATGGCCCTTTGTTTTTTTCCTTATACAGAATATATAGTGAACAAATTCTTCTGTGCTGAACTAGTCCTACATTTCTCAACGGATTTTGTTCAAACTTTCACAGAAGCTTTGTTATCAAGTGCCCTGGCGCATATTGTCAGGGTTTTGTGATTGGATAATATTTGACCTAATTATGCCCCTTTGTTTTTTTTCCTTATACAGAATTATCAATATATAGTGAACAAATTCTTCTGTGCTGAACTAGTCCTACATTTCTCAACGGATTTTGTTCAAACTTTCACAGAAGCTTTGTCATCATGTGCCCTGGCGCATATTGTAGAGGTTTTGTGATTGGATAATTTTTGACCTAATTATGGCCCTTTGTTTTTTTTCCTTATACAGAATACATTTTTTCCTTATACAGAATATACAGTGAACACTTCTTCTGTGGCAATTCCTCCTACATTATTCATGTTTTACATTGCACATAGTTACATTGTTTATTGCTTGCATTTGTATTACAAATACAACATATTTATCTACAATGGAGATAATTGAAAACCTGGTTTCGTGGCATTGCCATGTTTCTTGTTGCCGCGTAACGTCATGCTCTTATCTTCATGACGTCATGAAATAATGACGTCACAATGTTGAAGCAAAATATAATTCCATGATTATTTTTAGATTTTAGATGTTTTTCAGCACAACGTTCGTAAATATTTACAAACTACAGTTATCACGTACATTTTTTATTATGATTGACTACAATTCCGCTGAAAAAAAACATTCATTAATGATAAATATTTTATTTTTACGCCAAATATAGTTCGGCTACTGTGAAATTATATTTGGTAATCATTACTGTGAAATTATCAGAATATAATTAACCGTTATAATTCAGTAATCTACTGCAAAACATGTAATAAACACCAGTCTTTTGACTTTGTCCATTTAGAAAGATATCAGGTGACTACCCACTATTTTTCCACAAGATATTCTCACTCCACTAATATCAGTACTGGACAAGTGACCCATAGATATATGATGCGTAAAGGTACAGGAAAATACTGGTAATTTTTCTATACAGCCTCTTGACTACACAGAGAATACATGCTATGTTTTAAACTCTACACACTATAGGAAAGCATGAAATGATGACAAAATGTTTAAAGAAAACTGGCAACTTTATTATGCCCACACCATAAAATGGCTGGGGCTAATAGTGTTACCCCTTTCCGTCCTTCTGCATCATCAGTCTCCGTTCATTATCTTGGCAACAATAGCACACATTCAACTCAAATTTTACAAGGAATGTGCAGGTTGTTCGAATTTGGTCATGGTTAATGATTTTTGGCCGAGATATGCCCCTTTAACTTTGAAAAAAAAGGAAAATTTTTAGTTTCCGTCCATTATTTCCCCAATAGTTGAACATATTCAACTCAATATATGGATATGTCATAGGAATATGCTGGTCAAGTTCGAATTTGGTCATGGTTTGATGATAATAGATTTCTGACAGAGAGAAAAAGATAAGAAATTTTTAGTTTCTGTTCATCATCTCCCCAACAGCTATACACTTTCAACTCAAATTTAAAATACCGATACATCTTAGGAATACGCTTAGCTGGTCAAGTTCGAATTTGGTCATGGTTTGATGACTTCTGACAGAGTTATCCGTCTTGAACTTTGAAAATGATATGAAATTTTTAGTTTCCTTTCATCATCTCCCCAACAGCTACACACTTTCAACTCAAATTTGAAATAGAGATACATCTTAGGAATATGCTGGTCAAGTTCGAATTTGGGTATGGTTTGATGATTTCTGACAGAGTTATCCCTCTTGAACTTTGAAAAAAATAAGAAATTTTTAGTTTACGTTCATTATCTGCCCAAGAGTTATACACTTTCAACTCAAATTTGACATATAGATACATCTTAGGAGAAAGCAGGCTAAGTTTTAATTTGGGCATGGTTTGATGATTTTGGACAAACTTCTCTCTTGAATGTAGCAACAAAATTGAAATTTTAGTCTCCACACTCTGTGGAAATGTATGTAGTCATTATCTCGGCTACAAATATGCAAAAGGTTAACACTAAATAGTTTCATGGCCTTGAACTTTGTATAAGAATGGTTTGTGTTAACAATAAATAGTTGAAGGGCTTTGAACTTAATGAAACAAATAGTTTGTGCAAACAAATTTGGAACTAAATGTTAAATCATTTGAAATTTTAACTGCATGCTGGGGCATGACAACACATTTCTAGTTAAGAAAGAACCACATGTACTGAACAGTAGTTTAGAATTTCTCTTAATACACTTGTTACTATATATAGTAACAATATTGCCTATGATTTCAACTGATTATGAGTGTCGCGTGACCTATTATGAGTTTGCGGCCCGGGGCCGAGAACTAGTTATCAGCCCGCAGAACATGTGCACGTTCACAAACTCAAACAATGACGTCACATTTAAGGTCATCAAACAGTTAACTGTAAAAGTGAAAGTAGGTTGTCAGCACGAATCGCTTTATTTTTAATATGAGACCTTAAGCGTATTTAGTACAAACACATTTTTGTTACTATTGAAATTTGAAGAAATAATACGACAAATTCATTCCGAAAAAAAATGAAAATAAAATTTGCTTCTTGGTTCTACTGCTTTGAACACACAAACAGGAAACATCTCTGTACAGAACAGTAGAAGAGTACAGTAGACAAGAATTTCAACGAAAGAACTTCAAAGTCTATTTGTTTTGATTATGTTTTTGTTATTTTTTTGTTGTTTTTTTCAAATGCTACTATTAGATCTACCAAGTGTATTAAAGACATTAATACACGTCAGCGTAGGGCCGGAAGGTGATAATCGGCCCTGAATGAATAATGACCCTCGGGTCCATTATTCATTTTGCGGGCCGATTATCACCTTCCGGTCCTCTCCTGCCGTGTATTAACCTCTTATTACTCAAATTAGACATATTCAGTGAGAATTTAATAGACTGCAATGAATTTTACAATCAAAGTATTTTACCTAAAGATAAGCGTAGTATATCTTTAAAGATATTGTAATTTTTAAATAACCATGTTTTCCAGTTTTGTAAAGGCCAATAAGGCAATTCTATATGCTAACTAAGTTCTTGACAATGAAACTTACATGTGTTTTCCTATACAAGCTTATAAGAATCTAGTAAACCCAGGGCAGGGCCAATTTTTTTCCAAACCGGTGTCCTGCACATCATTCCATTTTAAGTAATATTTCTACCATACAGTTTGATTTTTTTTATTGGGTCAAAAGATACAGAGCAGACACAAATATTTTAAATTGATAATGACAAAGAGTGACCTTGACCTGAGGAAGGTCAAACCTGTTTCTCTGCAAATCGTCTCATCATGGTGAACATTTCTGCCAAGTACTTTCAGTTTCCTTCCACTGGTAGACCGGACACGAAACTGCAACCAGGTGCATAACATGTTACGCCAAAATTTTTTGCAAAATAAAACAAACAAGCTCTTCAACATATTTCTGTATTTCTCTCATCCATTTTACACTTGATAAAGGAAGCAAAACTTAATAGGCAAAGTAAAATATCCTCAGTCTAGACCACGAGAGCCAAAAACATGAGGACATGTCATAAAAACATTATATACTGATTGATATAATTAAAACTAACATTTCTACCACTTACTACACAAACTGTCATACATTAAGAACAGTTATACAATTATGCAGAATTATATACATGTAGCAAATTAATATAATACAAACACTGGTTTCAGTTATCTAACATAACAGAATAGTATGAGAATGATTTAATATCCTCTGCAAATAAACAAAATTTTAAAACGACAAGTGAAGGCATAACATAATTAACTTTTTAACTACAAAAGTTATCTAAAACCATAATGATTCATTTACTACCACTGGATTAGCACTTATTACGAGTATACTTCAACATTTCAATCAATGAGAATTTATTTAATCATTTTGACAAACTGGATTTCCAAATACAATAATAATACAGGGACTACCTTAGGGACCTCTCTTTAGTTGAAACTAATCAAGTAATACAAAAATTTATCATACGATATGACACAAGTCCCTTTTCAATCATTTTAATAAAACTAAGCATAAACTTTTGTTAATAACTTGCAGGGAACTTTTGACCTTGCAAGGTTACTGTCAAATTGACATGAAGTGTAATATGAACTAAACTTTCCATTGTTTGAAACTATATTTTGCAAATGTGTATATATTTTTCAATTGTGTTGCCCTATTGTATTGTGATTAACTGACAGTATGTAATAAATCAAATATAATTTCTTTTGTAATTTTATGTAAATACAAACTAAGAATATCCAATAAACTATATTCCTCCTTTACTGTAAGCAAAAAACAAACAAATCCACCCATGACATTTTACCTAGAGAATTGATTAAAATAATTACACTTCAGTGTAAGGCCTAGTACACCTTATTGTCATTTTCATTGATTGTGATATGAATTTGAGGCAAATTTCAAAGATTTTAAGCAAACTTAATGCTTGTTTTTCATTCTAAGCACAGTCCCAACATAACACATAACCGCTTATTATCTTAAACATGAAAATTACTTCATGAACTATGTCTGTGATATATATTTGTGATATATTTTTGAAAATGAGACATTTTATCCAAACAAATACTGGGCAACAGACATAGACAATATGGTAATAAATACAGCAATAAGAACATCCCTAATGTTGCAAAACAAAAACAACGTGATAGCTGACCTCTAAACATTTATTGACACATACAATTTCTATTTTACTTGACAATTTCTATTCCTTTACTATTTCAACATATACCAAAAAAAAATAAAAAAAATTATTCATATAATCATCTAGAATGTCGTCACCACAATCTTATATATGTGAAAAGGTCAGCTTCAAAAACAAAATGCAACTACAGTGATTTTATTCACAGAAAAATGGCACATAATCATTTAAAACATAAACATAAAACATATCAAAACAAACATATGCATGTTGATTACATGATGATTGAACAAAACAAATAATTAAAAAGCAAAAACTATATGCTGTTACATTATGCAAAATGCCATATATAATACAAACATTATTTGTAATAGAGCATTCACATTATATACATAATTAAAAAAAAGTAAAATTTCATTCATAACCTAGCACTAATAAGCAGTTGCCCTCTATCTGGCCTCATGAAATTAAAAGCAAATGGACCTTAACTTGTAGCCTACTATTTTTGTGCAAGTCTTGACTCGCTTTTAATCTAAAACTGTTTAAGTTCAGGGGATTTTTTTTTAATCAAAAGACTAGAATAGGGCTGTCTATCAGAATACAGTAGATTATCGTCAGGATAAACCATCAGAATAGTATCTGGTAAGATACTCATGAGGGTTTGCCTGGATCTACCAAGGAAGCAATGGGAAGCCCTTGTTCTCTTATGTTAAACAGAACAACATTTTTTAAATAAAATTTACAGAGCACAGGTCAACCCATCTTGATCAAGTCTGTTAAACTTGCCATAAGAAATGCATCATCACCTAGAATTGAATCATCTTTAACCCGAAAAAAGCTCTCTTGTCAGCTGGGGCTATATTCAATATAGCTGCATCAGTTATTCCTTACCGCTGCACTGGTAACTATCACTCCTACTTTACATAGTTGGATCAGTAAACCTTTCATATTATTATGAAGTTGTTCAAGCTCAGACCAGGAATGTACTTTGCTATCTGTAACCAACTGAGATATTGTTAAGACATATACAACCCATGGTAAAGGAAATACTATGCCATAAATGCAAAACTGACGCCAGATATTTATAGCACTAGTTGAGGTTAGAGATGTGATCTGGTGAGCAGCCCTCTGAGCAATGTTTCCACATTTTCCAAAACAATCTTTCCATGTTGTTTACATATGTCTCACAATTAAACAAAGGACTTGTAATTCTAGCCTTCCACACTTTAGCCCTAACTGCTTGTAAACTGAAATATTATAAATATCAATAATATATAACAAGGAAATGATTATGTTGTAAAAAACTTATTGCAAATACATTTTTCTGGTAATCGATGATAAAGGGATTTCACAACTGAAAGTAACACCCCTTCTCCAGACAGGCTGCCTCTCTCAATCTCAATTGCTTTATAATCCTATATATCTCAAAATAGTATTAAAATTCACTGTTTTTTTTTTTCCTTTATACAAATAACTTTTTTCACAGAACCTAAAATTAATCATTAAACATTATAACACTAAGACTAATTCTACCAGAGAGGTGATTTTCAAGTATAACTGAAATATTTCATGACTTCAAAAGAGCACATACTATTCTGTGTCATTTCCAAGTTTAGATGCAATCTTGATAAAGTCATCCCTATCTTGAGCTATCAATTCAGGACAACCAAGGGCCTTTAACTGCGACCCTGCTACTCTTGAAGCAAGAGTTTCCTTTGGTAGAGTTACCATAGGCGTCCCTGCCCACAGTACATCCATCCCTGTTGTGTGACCATTACACAAGGGTGTGTCCAGGCAAACATCTGCTAACTGACCACGTCGTACATGCTCCTCCTGAAAATAAATTGAGAAATAAATCAGAAAAATCATTTGAAACAAAACGTTTACAAGGGCATGTTTATTAACTATGATGATACAACTTTAATAAGCCAGACAGCTGTCGTGATGGCTAGAATGGCGTACAAGTTTATGAATATGATGGCATAGATTTAAGTTACATGTTAATTGTACTAATGTCATGTTGTTGTAACTGGTGAAGCAAGACATTTACTATTTATATATACATAATAAACATGTTGCTTGTTCTATGACCATAACAAATACATAGCAAGAACTCTGCTAGGTTTTCTTAAATACTACTACACAGATCTGCCTAACTGAATCATGTCAAGAAAGACTCCAAGGAGTTTTGAAAAGCCTGATTATTACTCCCCAGTTACCTTAAATATTGATATTTTGTTGAAATTCACAGAAGTTGTAAAGCATCATTTGTATACTTATTTTGTTCAAAATAAAATAACAAGAATTAGCTTGAAAACTATTGATGCATATGTCAATTTCAGAAAATTTGAATTTGTTCTAAATCTAATATTTTTAACATTAAACAATATTCATTTCATAGGTTTGTCATGAAATAATCTTCAATATGAATTTTATATGAATACCTTTGGAGCCACTGGAGAAAAGATGACTCTGCTGGAATCAAGGCCAGCATTTTTGGCTGACTGCAGTACATTTGGTTCCCCTACAGCCGGAAACCTTAGTAACCAGAGAATACTGTTGGGCACATTTCTGAGAACCTCAAACCACATGTCCAGGGTGTCGGGATCTATCTTATAAAGCTGGTTAAAGTTACAGTAAACTATGGCATCTTCTGGTAGATTGTACTGACATCGTGCACTGATAATCACAGTTTGAGGTATTTCCTCCCCTGATGCACTCTTGTTGTTAGTCTGAAAACAAGCCAAAGTTGATATATTAAATTTGTTTCAGTGTCGAGTCATAAAACAATATTAAGGTTAGCTATACACTTTCCTTAGCACTTTTAGCAAAGACTTTTTTACAGGTAAATGTGGAGTTTTTTGAGCTGTCATCTAGCTGCATGAAATTCAAATATACATGGAAAGGGTCAACTTATTTCATCAGTGACTTCTATAACCACTTGTTGATCAAGAGCAAACTGTCAAATTAATTACTGCTTTGTGTAAACTTCAATAATGTATTTAAATCTTACTGGAGCCAATTTTCAATTACAACCATTACTTACATAAACACAAGTTTTAACAATATTTCTTTCACATGATAGAAAAGCTTATTGACAAACGATATTGTTAAGCTACTTTAACATGTCTTAAGATTTTTAGTATTAAGGTTATAACTAAATAGGACAAACTTCTTAGTCCATATTGATAAGTCAAAGGGAAGTTAACATTTGAATTAAGAAATACAAACCTGTTGAGTTGTGACGCCACTTTGTACAGGTATATCATTGATAGAAGCATGTGATTGTCCAGTCTGCATCATTTGTGTAAGTACAGCACCTACTTGTAGTACGACAGTCTCATAAACCACTGTACCACATTCTCCATTCTCCTCGTCACTTGTTTCACCAGGGGCACATCTTACTGTCAACCTCTATAGATTAAAAATTTACACAATTATTGTGTTTTTTCAATACAGTTTAATCTACCTTATAACTAGATATGTGTTCGTAGGACACAGATGACCGACCCCACATTCCACTATTTGTCAATGGCAAATCTATATGCCCCCAATGCCAAATTTCCAATACGGACCATAAAAAGCTCATCATAGAAAAGTAACATGAATGTCTATGCCAACAAGAGGACTTTCAAGACATGAAAATTTACAGTACAACAGCTCATTTTGCAAGTACTCAAGTGAAATTTATCCGTTTTGCACATATCGTCTTTCATCACATGATGCCAAGTTTATTACAGATTAAACATTATGTTCCATTTATTGTGTTTTAACCTGAACCTTCTATTACTGCAATACTGTATTTCATACTTGCTCAATAATTGCATTTTAATATTTCTAATTATAGATCAATATTGAAGAAATCTGCCAAACTTCATGTTACAATGTGACACATTGGTTGTTGCATACCTGTATATCTGCGGTGTCCTTGAAAGCCTGTAGGTTAACACCATTCAGAACAATACTGTTGTCTTTAAACCTTTCCCCTTCTGACTGTTTAACAACTACTTTCTGCATTAGATGAGGGAACATCTGCATGTGATCTCCAATGAAGAATGTATCTGGCATATAAGCAAGCTTCTCGGAGTATTGTTTGTGATACTCTAGTGGTGAGGTAAAGGCATCAGTAATGATATAATCCATGTAGGAAGCTCCACTTGTTCCCGGGTAACCTAACCACATCACCTGTCATATAAATAATACATAACTATACTGTTTCACTACGCTTTCCATTTATTATACAACATATATTGGCAATATTTGTCAATTTAAGTATCTTATTTACGTAATTAGCACCAAGCAAATTAATTTATAGGTGGTTTGCTAATTGTCTATAGTGCCAATTTGTTCTTAATGAGAAACATAACACTGCAAAATACATACACAGAGTATTGCATAATAAAGAAACAGAAAGCTCCATAATATAACAAATGTTCATTACTTTTAGCCAGACATGTTTACACTTTCACTCCCTTTTAAGCTATTGTTATCTATTAGATTTTTTATCTTCATCTTAAAATAGTTGCAATATTTTACCTGGATAGGTGCAGGTCTCAATGCAAATAGTTCATTTCTAGCTCCTTTAGTGTAACCATTCATGTTGACTAGTATATGTATACCATCAGAGTTGATACGATCTGCAGCTTTACCATTACATGGTAACTATAATCAATAGAAAGCATACAGATATAATATATAATATGTACAGTTGTAAAACAATATAGGGATACAATAATGGCCATCATAGATTATAAACATCTAACATAAGGTTTTGTCTCATATATTTGACAAGGAATGTTGTACGAAATCAATGACAGATTGCCAGCTGACTCTATCAATGTTCTTTAAGTGTTTTGCATAATAATAATTAATTTGAATAACAAATATGTTTACCTAACTTCAATTACCACATTAGACTTAAATTCAACCTCTACAAAGAATGCAACTGGGCATGTGTTTATAATTAATGCACTTATAGTTAATTCATTCCACAAGTTTTTTATGGAAACAAAATAAAACTTTTATTTTCATAAAGATGCAAAACATTCTAGCAATCACAGACGTCCTTATACAGTTCTACATGGTTTAATAATTAACCAATGAACCTACCTGAGACAGATCTATAAAATGTTCAGCCTCACGACCAACTTTAGAGCGGAAACTTGTACCATCATCAGCTGTTAATGCGTAGCAAAATATCTGAAAAATTGCAATAAAACATACAATTTTAGTCCAATTAAACTAGAAGATACAATTTAACTTGTGCTTGACCAAGGTATAAAGAAAAGTTATTTTAAATGATTAATACACACAATTTTTCAGAACATACAATTTGTAGATGTAATTATGTAATTGTGTTCCATACTAATATTATGTTTAAATTCAATGATAAACAATGTTTTCTTTTTGCATACTTTACATTACATACCTCAACAGAATCTTTATCATGTAGCCCTGGTATACTTTGCATCAAATGTGATGTTGGATGATTACCAAAGTCAGAGCTTACATAACCAATCCTCAACCTTCCACCACTCGCTGATAAATCTTTTGGGTATTCATAAGGTGGTTTATGTAATATATTGATCTGAAAAACAAAATCTGCACATATATATTAAAAGCAAACCATCTGTTCATTTTAAACCTTTTATGGTGTCACACTTAACTTTAAGAGCTTCTCTCATCAAATAACAAGAAAAATGAGAAATCTTTGATTGCTAATGGTAAAAGTGTCTTGTTTATGTATACAGGCAAGCCAGTCTTTACACAACACTTTGTTTGTTTGTTTGTTTGTTTCATTTTACGCCTTTTTCCAACAGTATTTCAGTCATATAGGCGGGTAGTTTCCTAACCATCGTTCCTGGAGAGTTACACCAGTACTAGACAGAGTCTGACCCGGCTAAACTGTTAACTGTTGAATTTTAGTATTTGATATTGAAATCCCACAATCATTAGGTTTTCCTTATTTCAATCATGTCTAGACAATTATACAAATTTAGTTTAACCTTAAAGAAGTACAATGTAAATGTTGTACAGCAGCTATTAAGATTTTCTACTGTATATATAACCCAAGCACCCATTCCTTGCATCAATTCTGGTAAATTGAACATATAAGTAAGACAATTTAGCTTCCATTAACTAGCTATACAAGCTTTCTTATATATAATGAAAAGTAGATTTTTTTTTTCACATTACTTAACAAGAGCATACTTTTTCTAGACACAGATTAGCGTGTTTGGCAGCAATTCCCTTCCTCTGATCATGACTAAGTGGATATAACATTGTATGGTGGGGGTGTACGGAGGGGAGACGATTCTTCTCTAACTGTTCATCAACTATCTGTACTAACTTCTTCATTCTAGCTGAATAATCACTCCAGTCACATACAAACTGTAATAAGCATAAATTTCTTCATCGCAATACAAGAGTAAAACATACATTGCACAAGATAGAATAATTTAATTTTGCACAAATAAAATAAATCTCAAATGTTTTACAATGTTATTTGCAGGTCTGACAAATATAAAGCCATGAATTTCAAATGAATAATCAAAGCAAGTGATGAAGACCTAATACCTGTAAACAATGAGCTAGATTGCAGTAGGCATCTGGAAATTCTGGTTTCAACTTGAGGGCTGTTCTATAGGACTGTATGGCTTCGGGGATACTACCAGAGTCTTTATGTATAGATGCAAGGTTACTATGAGCATCTGCAAATGCTGGTTTAATCTGGATGGCTCTCTGGTAGCACTGCATGGCTCCCTGTACATCTTGCATTTCTTTAAGCAAGTTACCCATGTTAGAATATGCATCCGCAAATGTTGGTGAAATTCTGAAATTAAACATTTCACAAACTCAAAAATAAAAGCAGATAAATTTTTTTTCTAAAACAGAACTTTGTGTTTGGAGCAGATGATTACTCATATGACTTTGTTATTCATAAACAAATAGCAAACAAGAGGGCCATCAAAGCCCTGTATGACTCTACAGACTTTATAAGATAAGTAAAGTTTTCTCTGCATACATTTAGTTAAACACCCCCTTCGGACCTTGTTTCAAGGTTTTAGTTAAACACCCCCTTCAGACCTTGTTTCAAAATCATCATCTAAAAGTCCTATTTTTGTAATTTTATCAAAATTTAAATAAGAAATCCAACCATGATGATTTGCTCCATTTTTCTATATATAGAAATGGCTCTATAACTACCATTTACAAACTTTGTACTTTCGAAGTTTTATTAAAATCTTTCAGGTTCAGACAAGATGAGATTCAAGTTCTTCTTTTTTTTTGTCATGGTAACATTTTTTGCATAGCAAGGATTTTTTTAAACAACTTTGGAAGAGGATTACTAAAGGAACATTCCTTTAATCTTTGACGCAGGCCCAGAGGTCTAGGAAATGTTGACAGTGGGGACTGACTGATGGTTAAATAAATCTGCCCTTAAACGACTAAAAACCACATTAAACCATTTTAGACATTCACATGATCTTTTTTAGCCATATAAAGTTCTTTATTAATCGATTCGCATCAAAGAAATTTAACAGTTACCTATTGTTCTAATACTAAAAACCAACAAATTGTCTGGTCAAACAGACAGCGAGTGGTCATAATTGCTAACCTTGATCACTTTGTGCTCTGATGAGCTAAAAAATGTTAAACGCTACAAATGCTTCTAAAGGAAGGATTATCAGGTCCTGATGGATTTATCACACATTAAATCTACTTTAAATATCTAATCATTGAATTTGGTGTACTGTACAAATGTCTTTAAGTTCATATAATCTACACATATATTTCAACTACCAACCTAATTGCTTCTTTATAATGCACCAAAGCTTCAGTTAGTTTCCCTTGTTGTTGAAGTACACTTGCAAGATTTGAATGTGCCACAGCAAAGTCAGGAAACACTTCCAGGGCCTTCAAATAGAGACGTACAGCTTCCTCTGTGTTTCCCTGCTCACGTTTAATATTTGCCAGGTTATTTAGGGAGTCAGAGTGGCTGGGTGCCAAAGAAAGGGCAGTGTTGTAGCAATCTTCAGCATCAGATACCTTTAAATAAAAGTGAAATAATGGAAAATAATATTTCCTCTTTTATGATACTTTTAAAAGCCAATAACTTTGTTAAAAGTTTTTACACAAAATTTTTTGTTTAAAAATAAAAACATGTCAGATATAAGCTTTGAGCTTATAAACAACTATAAATAAGTTTGTCTTAATGTCTAGAAACCAGTAGAATATATTATTTTGATTTCTTACATTATGAATGGCTTATTCTTATCATAACCAGGTAAATACCTATATGAGTTGGAACCGTATAGCATTAAATTTCAGAAAACAAAAAATAACAATAAGGATGTAACTACCTTTCCTTTCTCCTTTAAAGCATTGGCGAGATTACAGTAGGCATCAGGGAAGTTAGGCTGAAGTTCTATAGCTTTTCTGTATGTATCTATGGCAAGATCAATCAACCTGAAAACATCAATATCCTAAATATTAACAAAAATATACCATCTGTATGAACAGATGGTTGACCTGATACAAAATTGTGATATAGGTCACTTGTTAATCATATATGAAACTGGTAATTTGCTTTAAATCACACCAAAACTTAAGTTATATTTTAGGTATGTCCTAGGCATTAAAGAATTGTCAATAAGCAATATTTGCTTTGTTAAAAATAATATGTTATCATTGTAATGATAAAAGTATTCAAAAAATGTAGATAATATGTTTACCCTTGCTCATAGTAGACACAAGCCAGGTTTCCATGTACAACAGCATGGTTGGGATTCAGACTCAAAGCTCTCAAATATGCTGTCACAGCCCTAAAAATGCAGAGAGAAATATACCCTATTACATCATATCAAGATGACTTATTTGTCTATAAAACTGACTGTTCATTGTCCATCTCCCTTTCTATATCTATTTTCTAAATTTTTAAAAAAATTACAATTTACTTCCTTATGTTTTACTATCCTGTTATCCTGTTATCTGAAAGTTCACTTCATGAAACTACAAGTTTGCATCTACAATAATTTTCAAAATGGTGTTACTTTTGTTTTTTGCCTGTTCCTAAATATGGCATTTATTTGCAAAGATATGTTTTATAATACCCTTAAACTATTTACTTATTCAGCATAGGAAACTGCCAATGAAGACTTATATTACCTGTCAAATATTCTTGCTTCTTTCAGAACATTACCAAGGTTAATATATGCATCCATAAAATTGGCATCCAAAGCCACTGCCTGAAAAAACATGACAGTCAAGATTAGATCCATTCTGTACTTCATGTTCATATTACTTATGCCAAGTCTGCTTTTGTGCAATCTAACAGGACTCTATCCTGCTAGTTTCTTAATGTTTAAATTGTTTTCAAGTCCTTTGTAAAAGAAGAAGTGAATTTTAAAAATTTAAAACAAACCAAATGAAGGCCATTTCATGAAAATTATTACTTGCATGTCTGAATTTTAATTTTATAAATTACACAGTATCACGGCGTTTTGAATTCTAGTAATGCCTATTTATTGAAGACAGATACCTTCTCAAAGTGATGTATTGCCAGCCATATCTCTCCCTGAGCATGGAATACACAGCCTAAATTGCTCCAAGCTACCGCAAAATTTGGTTGTGTCTCAATTGCTTTTAAATAACAAGCCTAGAAAATCAAAAATAAACAATGTTAGATTTAAGTTTATGATTCTGCAAGTGCTTATGGCAGCAGCTGCCGCTTGTCCGCACATGCCCGCACAGTGTTTTTTAAAGGCATATTTTTTTCTTGCTTGCATGAATCGCAGCGCCGCAGCATTGCTTAAGAAAATCACAAAATAAGACAGAATGTCACTTTTAACCAACAAATCATTCTGTTGTGTCTAAACTCAAGCCAAATATTTGTGCTTTCCACATGTTGCCAAACATATAATCTTTCAAACAGATCAGATCTTGTTTAGAATTTCAAAATCACCTCATACCTACCAGAGTTTAAATCTTTCTTCAATTCTATTGATCAAAATTACTGAAACAAGTTATTGATGACCGAATATCATTACTTTCTGTGTAAAAACTTTACACAGAAATAAAGGGCACTTCAAAACAGTGCAATTTTTTTCACATTATTAAAAATATATTTTGTATGTTTTACAGACAATGGCATGTATGAGGTTTTAGCTTTTATTTCACTAGAGTGACAGTCTCTCAAATTTAGGTCATTTTCCAAAATCGCAGTGAAGACAAAGTGAACATTGCTTTTCTAAGTGATAATTCACTTTCAAAATAAGTATAATTTTCTAATAAATGATCTCATGGTAAATTCATTAATTTTCTTATATATATTCTATAAGTAGCTGATCCAATCAAATTCAATATTTTATCAACCAAAAGATTATAAATACTTTAAAAAAATCTGTTATGAAAATCCCATTTCAAAAATATATTACTTAACACTTAATTATCTTTCAGAATAAAAATTTGATTGGTAAGCTTGCTTTGTGTGATGGAATGTTCTCTTTGTCTTCGCATCGCATGCGCTTCAAGTTTTGCTTGCCAGCTTGCGCAAGTTTCGCATCACTTTAATTCACTATTATAGAACGCAGAGCGCATCGCAACAGACAGACTGCAGCCAGGACTATGGCAACTTTGGTTTGCATTTTATCGCTTGCACGCAGACATAAAAGATCCTTTTTTAATGTAGTTGTTTTTTTTTTAATTCTGAAAGGAAATTAATGAAAGCAACTATAGTCAGTCTACAAATCCAGTTTCAACCAAGAAAAATGTCAATTTTGATAATTTGTGAAAAAAAAGAAAAAAAAAAGAAAAGAAAATTTGGAGAAAAATGCCAAATGGAATGTATAAATTAAACAATAAATCACACTAATTTTTTTAAGGGGTTTATAAGGACTTTTTTCTATAATTAATCTCACTGGACTGACTATACCATGGATACTACCTTTCTGCTACCAAAAATTTCATCGCATTATGTATATTTTGATTTATTCCTACCAGTGACCTTGATCCATGAGTTGATGCGACATCTTCCTTCCAGGAAATTTATGTGTGGCATGTACCTTTTGTGTTTAAATAGAAATAGAACAAATAAATTAGCTCATGTATAAGTCAAATATATCAAAGCAGGGGAAATGGGCAGAAAAAAACCATTGGTAAAGAAAATGCCTGGCTGTATCAAATGATAAACATGTCTCACTGACATGTTTAAACTGAACAGGTTGTTCTTATTTTACATATCATGCAATTTTGAAAAAAAAAAACAGTTAAAAGTTACCAGTTCATTGCATACTGGATTCTGTCACTTGCCAGACAAAAAGTGAATATTTTTTGTCATAGCTAACAAAAACTAAACAAGGTAGAAACATGAAACTTTTATATGATAAAGTTTGATTCATGATCTTTGTTTTCTAAATTTATTTCATACTAGGTGATCACTTTCTGGTCAAAACAAATTTTAATGTATCAGATGTAATTTGGTCAACATACACATTTTGTTGAAAACAAATACAACTGCTATTAATATGCTACATGATGCGGAAATTCTTTGCTTTTATATACAGAAAAGTCTGCTGGAAAGAAGCCTATCAAAGAGAAAAACTTTTGGCTACTTTATTGATTTTTTCTAAAATATCAAAATTGCAATTAGACACAATTATTGGGTTAACCAATTAGCTACAAATAAATTTCTGTACACTTTCATTAAATAAACAGTAGCATTGAATTATTTCACGATGCCTTTAATATTTCAATAACAAACCATTGAAACTTATGAATAAGTTCAAAAGAACAGAAATGTATATTCCAGTGTTATGAGCAGTTTTAAATATCAACACTGATAAAAGCTTGTCCAGGGTAAAAAAAACAACATTTTGTTCAGCAGGTTGTTCAAATCCAGTAAAAGGTAACTGAGAACTACAGAAGTCAAGGCAGAAGCCTTTTCCTTTAAAGTTTTCCAACTGAAGAAAGACATACTTACAATAAATATGTACATCATTCATGTCTAGCCAACCCAACCACAAATAATTTTTTGATTACAGTAACCCAAGAAAAGGGATTCTTTAAACCAGTCAAGTTTTTTTACCAACAATATACACAGCAATCAATGTTAAATTTATATATTCACCTACAGAAAATGATATTTTTATACTTAAACTTGAATAGAACATTGACAGCAACAGGAAACAAAATATTTACCCATCAAAATACATTGAGATAATTTTTAATCAGAAAATGACCCTGAACTCTTCAAAATGTATTACAAGGTAATATTAATTTCGCCTTAATAAATAAATAAACTTATCTTGGGTGTTAACTCACAGATTGGAAAAATTGTTTTCTTCTTTTTCTCTACTTCTGTGATTTCCAGTTCCCTTTTTAGACCCATTTTTAGTTCAAGAGTTCCCTCCCATCCCCATTTAGACCTTTTCTCAGTTCAATAGTTCTCTCCCTTTGGTTTTTAAACCCAATTTTAGTTTAAGAGTTCAATGTCATTGTAAGTCTCAAGATTAAACACCCTACACACTAAATGCAATGGTTAACATATATAATGGCATTTCACAGTCAAATACACTTCTATAATTACTAATGAAGACATCCTTTTAGGTGATAGCATTTTTTTTTACAAAAGAAAAAAAAAGTAACACAAAATATGGAGAATGAAAAAATAAAGGAGATTCAACAGAAATGATTTATAATGAGTGAAAATGAAAAAAAAAATGGTTGAAATGCCTAGATATGTATAACCTTTACTTTTATATCTTGAATCTGAAATTTCAATATCACAAGCATTGTAATGTTAAATATAATTAACTTTTAGATAGAATTGCTAACTGCAGATTATTATAATGCAAGAAAATTTGCTGATGTATGCTCATCTTCTTTTATTCACACGTCATTGTAAATTACATTTGCTTTTCCAAAAGATATTTACTTCAACTGTAAAATTAAATTGAATTTTACATTGGAAACTATGATACACCAATTTAAAAAGAAGGTTGAACAGTCGCAAAATTGTCTTGCCTTAGCTTAAATTATACCAGGTCTCGGAAATCTGTGTTGTATAGGAGAATACGATTCACAGATTTCAAGTGAGAAATTCAGGTATAGACAATCTACAGAATGAAGCAATTCTATCTCTTAAATGCCTTACAACAAGGCTGCTGCAAACTTGAAACAAAATGGATTAACATTGATGGGGTAATATTTGGCTTCTGTATTTGTGTTTAATAGTTTACTTATTTATCTTGTTGAAACAATTGACTTATTTTGTTAACATATTAACTCCATGGACTAACAACTTTAAATGCAAGAGAAGGTTTTATCTCTTTGTTTTGGTGGTTTCTATAGTAACCACTCCTACCTTGGCCTCATCCAATCTTCCAAGTGCTTTTAGCAGGTTTCCAAGGTCACTTCTTACACAGTAAAGATCCTGAAATTAACAAATTTTTGTTAACAACTATCAAAAAGGATTTAATACCAAACCATATATCTAAAAGTAATTTTTGTTAGAGGCATCAGTCATCTGTAAATGTTTTCTTTCTTTGAACACCACTGACAGATATTTTGAAATTTTAATTATCTTTCCTTGCACTGACAGATATTTTGGAATTTTAATTATCTTTCCTTGAAAAGTTAAATAAATCTGTTATTGGTATGGATCAAATAATTGTACAAATAACATGTATGAAGAATTGCTGTCAAAATGCTGTCACAGCATGGTATGCATAAAACAAAATCATCCACACTTCATACATCATCAAATTACTAACAGGCTAATACTGAAGTGAGACATCATGTATGTAAATATAGTCATTCCCATTACATACATTATCAAATTACTTACTGGATTATATTGAAGTGCTGTGACATAAGCCTGTACGGCTTGTTCCATGTCACCAGCTGCCACGAGGGCTGCAGCCAGGTTAATGTATCCATCTATAAAGTCAGGTTTTAATCTAACAGCATATCTGTAATTTTGTAATGCATCCCTCAGTTGTCCACATTCCTTGTAGACATTTCCCAAGTTTGAATATGCTTCAGCTAACATTGGATTCTGTTTAATTGCTAACTGGCTAAAGTAAGCAGACCTGAAATTGTGTAACAACAGATTATTTTGCAAGGCATTAATTTTTCAAGATGATGCATTAATATTTAATATGCAAGATACTTATCCACATTGAATAAGTAATTAATTGTTAAGAATTATTTTGAACATCTGTATACTTTGCTACAATTTTTAAACGTTTTGTGTAAAGACAGAATACAAAAAGTGTACAAAGTAAGTCTAAATTAATAAATTATACAGATATATATACAGTCTGTAGATTAACAGTTGTCTGATTGCATCAGACAACTGGTTTCTGAAAGTTTGACAATCAGACAAGTTAAAATTTTCAGAAAATATGGTTCAATATATCATCAAAATCAGAGTTAACAAGAATATCGAACGACACATATACCCCCCTTTTTAGCCATTGACTCACATAATTGGTAATTTTATTACAGAAACTTGCTAAAAATGGGTACATTTAAGGCCCATGTGACATTTACCTTTGACCTAATGACCCCTAAATCAATAGAGGTCATCTACTACTTATGACCAATAACTAGGTGAAATATGAAGACTTAGTGATGAATACTTTTCAAGATAATCAGCGGAAACCCTTTTGACATTTAAGGCCCCTGTGACCTTGACCTTTGACCTAGTGACCCCTAAATCAATAGAGGTCATCTACTAGTTATGACCAATCACTATGTGAAATTTGAAGACTTTGTGATGAATACTTTTCAAGATAATCAGCGGAAACCATTTTGACATTCAAGGCCCCTGTGACCATGACCTAGTGACCCCAAAATCAATAGGGGTCATCTACTAGTTATGACCAATCACTATGAGAAATATGAAGACTTTGTGATGAATACTTTTCAAGATAATCAGCGGAAACCATTTTGACTTTAAGATCCCTGTGACCTTTGACCTAGTGACCTCAAAATCAATAGGGGTCATCTACTAGTGATGACCAATCACTGTGTGAAATATGAAGACTTTGTGATTAATACTTTTCACGATAATCAGCGGAAACCATTTTGACATTTAACGTCCCTGTGACCTTGACCTTTGACCTAGTGACCCAAAATCAATAGGGGTCATCTACTAGTGATGACCAATCACTATGTGAAATATGAAGACTTTGTGATAAATACTTTTCAAGATAATCAGCGGAAACCATTTTGACATTTAAGGTCCATGTGACCTTGATCTTTGACCTAGTGACCCCAAAATCAATAGGGGTCATCTACTAGTTATGACCAATCACTATGTGAAATATGAAGATTTTGTGATATATACATTTCAAGATAATCAGCGGAAACCATTTTGACATTTAAGGCCCCTGTGACTTGACCTTTGACCTAGTGACCCCAAAATTAATAGGGGTCATCTACTAGTGATGACCAATCACTATGTGAAATATGAAGACTTTGTGATACATACTTTTCAAGATAATCAGCGGAAACCATTTTGACATTTAAGGCCCCTGTGACCTTGACCTTTGACCTAGTGACCCCAAATCAATAGGGGTCATCTACTAGTTATGTCCAATCACTATGTGAAATATGAAGACTTTGTGACAAATACTTTTCAAGATAATCAATGGAAACCACGTGGTCTACCGACGGACAGACCGACAGACAGACCGACATTAGCAAAACAATATACCCCCTCTTCTTCGAAGTGGGGCATAATAAAAAACATACACCTGGCACTAATGCTCTTATGTACTGTGATTTTTTCCTTGTATTTTACAGCCGAATAAAGGCTGTTTCCCCAGCCCAAAGTAGCTATATTTTCCCTGAAAAATGCTAATATCTTCCCCTAAAATTCCCTGTGCACATTCTTCACCAGAACCATGTCTTAGCAGACACTGACTCATATCAGCTAGATAGCCTCTGCTATGTACTCACAGTACTGTACATGTTAAATTGAATTGAAAATTATATAAAATGTGTGGGTAAATTCCATTCTTAGTTTTTGGAATTTGATTTCTACTTTCCTGATTTATCACGCTATATTTTCCCTTTCAGAAAGCCACAGGTTGTTTTGAAAATTAAAAAAAAATCAGTTGTAATTAAATTATGGTACCCGCAACAGAATACAATGTAGATCAATTATAGTAAACCCATGTAATAGTATTTAGTAATACCAATTAGGCAATTACCATAACCACTGACTATGGTAAACATATTGCTACTTTTATACTTTGATGCAAACAAAATTTTCTCATACTGGCTGCACAAATGAACCATTTTTAAATCAAATTTCAAAGACAATATTATATCCGGTTACTAATAACTGAAGTACATTCAATTATTGTATTGTCCTATTACCTATCTAATTTCCTTTGTTGAAAGTGTATAGAACTAAGTAAGAGTAACACCCCAGTGTTGTCTGGTTCCTGCCTCCATAATTGCATACAATGTTGTTCTGCTGATTCATAGTCACCTGCCTGGTACTCGGCATGTGCTAATTCTGCTAGTCCTGGAAAAAAAAAATGATATTAGTACAAAGCAATTGTATAAAATTATTTCCACTGGTTAAACAGTTTTTACATTACTTTAATCCAAACCAGGGATTTTTTTAAGGATTTTGGGAACATGACCCATACCCATGGTATTGGGAATTTCAGCGGTGTTTTGTTAAAAATTGGGAAAAAATGCATGACTGAAATTTTACAATTATTTAATGGATGCAAACAAATACTGTCTAGGATGGCATCTACAAACATTTAAGCACTATTACAGTGAAGGAGCCCTTAAACTTTCAAAGATTTTAGAATTTTTATTCAATATTTTTATTTTGTAACTTTCAATTGGGATTTTTTTACTGTGGATTGGGAAAATAATATACTATTTTTAATTGGGAATATGACCGAATAACGGCTATAAAATAAGCCAAAAAAAATCCCTGCAAACTTCACTTTGTTAACCTGCCTCAATAATTAACTAATTATTTCATTATTGCTTTGGATCTCTTTTGAAGTCTCAAAGATTTAAAACTCCATTTATTCTTTGTATTTACCAGTAGAATCTCGAGCAGGACAAAGAGTTTAAACATAATTACTTTATTCTAATCCTTACTTCACTTAATGACTTAAAACCCTGCCTCACTTATTAACTAATTAATTAATCATTGACTTGAAACTTTTTTGATGTCTCAGTCTGCTTTGTATTTAACAGTACTGGGCAGGAACCAGATTCCGGACAGAATTCAAGTTTTTTTAATTGTCTGATTTTTTTAATAATAAACATGCATTAAGAAAACTAACATACCAAAAACCTGAGCTCTAACTACATCTGATAACACAATTAATACTGCCTGGTGACGTAAGCAATGTACAAACTGAAGGGTTAAATTAGGTCATTAAAAGTGTAAATTGTTCACTCTTGCAGAACCAGTTTCCGGACATATATTAAGCTGCTATTCATTTCTTTCTTTTAACTGATAATTATTCTAATATAACAAAAAATTTCTTCTCACATATTAGCTTTCTTATATAATTAAGCTGATTTACTGAAAAAAGTTTATGACAGGTAAAATAATAATCACGTGATGGGTCTCGGAATGACTGAAAAGTGAAACGGATATGTTTGTGTGTACGGCAGCAAAGAAGAGCGAACGTGGAGTAACCCTAGCCAAACAAGGTTTTCCGATACGTTACAGATTTATCTCTGGGGAATTACACCTAATGAACTTCGAATGAGTACATTGTGCATTAATTGCTACCCAAAATTTTATCCCGAAATAAACAAAATATTGCGCATGCGCAGAACAAATTACATGCCCCAAAGGGATATAAGGCTGTTTTTAAAACACAGGTAAGATATCCTCACGAAATTTTAATGATGTATCAACTTGGAAGGAAGTTTATTTTCACAAACAATCAAGCCAAGCTTCTTTATGATAAATAATACTGATTGTCATCGATAAAGCCAAAATGAAGCTATAATACTTGTCCGGAAACTGGTTCCTACCCAGTACTGCAGTAGACTCTCCAGCAGGACAAGCAGTAAGTACTGTTCAAGTACTTGAAGCAGGGTTGTCATTAACATTTTTTGCAGAAGGTTTGTTTTGAACTTGAGGCGGTCATTTCTGTCTTTATCATGCAAAACAAAGAGTGTTTTCTTAATTTTGAGGCGGCCCATATTGCATTTGAGACAGGCATTTTGGCCTCCTGCCGCCTCTTAATGACAACCCTGTTGAAGTAGCAAAAATGTAGAGTGAAAGACTGTACCACTGTTCGATCAGGATGAGAAGAAAATTGATGATTGAAGACTACGTAATAGAATGATTAACATTCATTGACTAGGACATTATCATGTAGACTTGCATCTGATGTTTGCATAATTTTTGAAACAAGTCTATTCACTCTGCCTACAACCATGTAACATCTTCATTGTTATCCTTTGATACACTGATTGGGCCCAGTTAGAACATCAGTATATGAAGCTAAGCTAGTTTGCCACTTTATTTCACATTAACAGTTCAGAAAAAAAACAAAGACTTCTGAATTAAAGTTAGATCTACAACATTTTCAATTTGTTTTAGCCGGACAGATTTTATAGTTTTTTTCCTGAACTTGAAGTGACATAAAAACAACAGTTCTAAGCAAGTATTAATTTCATTAATTTAAAAGATAGGAAGAGTTTGATCTATGCCATGTTACCTGGTTACTGTCATAATACGACATTTCTCAATATGAATGCCTATTTTTATTTGCTTTGAGACATTATTTTTCTTTTCATTTCACAGTGTCAGTGATGACTGATGTTTTGTGTAGTATTTCTTATGTAATTTATGTACGTATATTTATTATGGATACGGAGTTCAGTAATTCACAAATGTGAATAGATTGAAGTAAGAACACAGATGTGAGCTTTTCAAGTTTAATCTCAGAACTGCTAGTGGCGGGAATCGCCTGTCTATACATAAGAACTGCCCATTCAAGCATTAATGGAATAGTACTGATAGTATAAAGGTCAAGGTAAAATAATCATGCAGGTTAAACTAGTATCTGATATCGTTACATTTCCCGCTTCTTGAGAATTTGAAACTCTTTCAATATACAAATGTCTATTAAATATGTTTGATAATCATTTAACAATAATATTTTTATTACACGAAATAATGAATAATATAGATGTTTAAGTTGTTACTTAACAAATAAACAAGCTTTATCATTGATGAAAATACATATATATATGAATTGCAATAATGCGTGTAAATAAATATAGGTTTCAACTTATAAGTCATAAAGTTCAATCACATCTTTTTTTAAATGTTTTCTGCTTTATTGTTCATTTGTTACTCCATTTTTCATCAAAGTATCTTTTGTTCTGTTTTACTTCCCTGCCTGAACGTGTGACATAAGGGTTATTTTGGCGGGGCTTATCATTGCACTCAGAGGTTATAGCGTGGTCAGAATTATGTGATTCTGGAAAGTTACTGACAGTGGGGTTCAATAAGGGGTTATTGGGAGGTGATTCTTCTAGAATTCTTGAATTTCTGGAAAGTTTTCCTTTGTTTTGTTCAGCTTGACCCTGTTTCTGCGGTAAATACCACCTGTTTTAGTTTGCACTGAATAGGAGCGGTCATCGTGTATTTCTATAACTCTTGCTGGTTCCCAGTGATTTTTGACCTGAAGCCGTATATAGTATACTCATTTAGTTTTAGAGGGGGAAGTTTTCTGGTGGTTTTATCATAGAAAGATTTTTGTTTTTGTTTGATATCTTTCATTTTTTTATTTATTGTCTTGGGGTCGATGCATTGGGGCTTCAGTTGCGCATTAGTGACAGGTAGAATTGATTTTGTTCTTCTACCCATTAATAGTTGGTTTGGTGAAAAGCCAACTTCAAGGGGTGTATTTCTATATTCTAGAATAGCCAAATATGGATCTTTCTGGCTTTCCTTGGCTTTTTTGAATAACCTTTTAACAATGGACACTGTTTTTTCAGCGAGACCATTGCTGATTGGATGTAAGGGGCTTGATGTAACATGTGAAAAACCCCATTCTCTCGCAAAATCTGCGAAATTTTCAGCAGAGAATTGCGGGCCGTTATCTGTCATTAGTTTGTCACATATGCCGTATCTGGCCATATGGACTTTTAGTTTTCTAATTACAGTTGTACTTTGAGTATTTGGGAGAGCATCTACTTCAAAGTATCGACTGTAATAGTCTACAGTGACAAGATAGTCCTTGTTGTCAAATGAGAACAAGTAAGTCAGCGGCAATGTTTTGCCATGGTCTGTCTGGTACGTCATGTGATATCAAAGGCTCTTTTGCATTTGAATATCTGTGCTTTTGACATACAGCATATTGGGAAATACAGCTTGTGATTTGTTTTGCTATGCCAGGCCAAAACAAAGTATACTCTTTTCCACAGTCAAATGACCTTGATGAACTGATTCTATCAATTGCTGTCTTGAGGAGGCGGAATAACATTTGTTTGACCTCTGAATATGAGGTTGTCCGCTACAGAGAGTTTGTCTCTGTGATTGAAGAAATCCACAACCACAGGATTACAGTCTGCGCGGGAAATTGGCCATCCCTCATTTATCGTCTGTTTCAGCAGATTCATGCTTGCGTCAGTTTTTGTGTCATGCCTCAGTGACTCAAGTCTGCGGTCAGTTATTGGTAACCCTTTCAGTATAGTGTGTATATGTAGGTCAAAGTCTTCATTGTTGAATTTATCTTTGAGAGGCATTCTGGACAGCATGTCGTTTACCGGTATTTGCTTACCAGGTACAAATTTGACATTCAAGTCATATTTGCTCAATGTCAGTCGCATCCTCTGTAGCCTAGGAGGACATGCGCAAAGATTTTTCTGCATGATTGCGCATAACGGTTTGTTGTCACTATGTACAGTCACTGTTCTGCCATAAACATATTGATGATATCGTGTCCATGCAAATACTATTGCGTTTAATTCTCGCTCTATTTTTGCGTACCGAGACTCTGTGTCGGTCAATGTCTCGGATGCAAATGCTACCGTGCGGCCATCTTGGAAAATGGCGGACCCACATCCAAATTTCGAACTATCACACTCGAGTGTTACTGGCTTTTTGTCATTAAAATAAGCCAATACAGGACTTTCTGTGATAATTGCTTTCATTTTGTCAAATGACTGTGATTGTGGAACATCCCACATGAATTCAATATCTTTTTTGAGTAATGCTCTCATTGGACTGGTGACCTCAGCCAAGTTTGGCGCAAATTTTTGTAAATAATTTGCCATGCCAAGCACGTGCTCTAACTCTTGTCTTGTCGTTGGAGCCTTAAGATTTGTTATTGCCTCGATTTTCGAGGGATCAGGTTTCAGTCCTGTTGATGTGATGAGGTGTCCGAAGAAAGGCACTTCTGTGACACCTATGACACATTTATCTGGGTTTAGCTTAATACCCACTGATTTGACCTTGTCAAGGGCCCTGCGCAAGTTTGCGTCGTGCTCCTCGCGCGATCTTCCGTAAATCAAAATGTCGTCAACTATGGCGGTAAGTCCGTCAAGTCCCTCAAATATTTCGTCAATTTTCTGCATGAAAATATCACTTGACGCAGAAATTCCGTACGGAAGTCTAAGCCAGCGGTATCTGCCAAATACCGTGCTAAATGTTGTCAAAAAGGATGACTTTTCGTCTAGTTTAACGCTCCAATAAGCGTGTGTAATATCTAGTATGCTGAAGTACTTTGCGTCCGTCAGTCGTGACGTCACGTCGTCAATAGTTCGCATAGGATAATGTGGCCTTCGTATAGCGTCATTCAGGTTTTTAGGGTCAATACATAACCTCAATTTCCCTGTTTTCTTCTCAACTATCACAAGGGAATTAACAAAATCTGTAGGTTCCGTTACTTTTGTAATTATCCCCTCTTTCTCCATGTGCTGGAGTTCATTTTTTAATCTGTCTCTTAATGCCTCCGGAACCCTGCGGGGAGGATTAATGATAGGAATTGCATCTGGCCTAATGTGCAATTTACTTTCACCTGGAATGACCCCGATGCCTTTAAATACATCTCCATACTCTGATAAGATCTTTTGTTTATCAAGTGGTGTAGAGGTTTCTACTGAGTATGTCAATTGTATCAGGTTAAGGTTAACAGATGTTTGTAAACTAAGTAGTGGGACGGTGTTGCTATCTACAATGTAGCAATTTGATTGACAGCTCTGATCCCTGTAACTCATTTGCAGGTTGAGCGTGCCACATACAGGTAACCTGTTTCCAGTGTATGAGGTCAAGTGACTACTGGGGGGCTCAAGAGGGTGATTTATGTTGAGTTTCTTGAGCTGATTTAAAGGGAGAATATCTACAGCGCTACCTGTGTCTAATTTGAAATGTATAGGTATACGGGAAGGGCCAACATTTATTTGGACAAATGCACGTTCAGTAGGAGAAGAAAAATTTACCGTGTCTATGCAAAATTTTGTATTTTCCTCTGCATCCGAATCACTTTGTTTAAATCCATTTGCTGAACTAACGTTATGAACATTCCTGTTTTTTGATCTGCATACACTGGCAAAATGGTTAAACTTTCCACAATTATGACATGTCATGTTTTTGGCTGGACAGATTTGATGATGTGTGTGCTTTTTTCGTCCACAGTTTGAGCAGTTTCCATCCTTGGAGTTTCCTGCTGCTTTTTGTTGCGCTATTGGTTGTTGTTGTTGTTGTTGATGATGATGATGCTGCTGATGATAGCGATGGCGATGATTAGGGCGTATATTTCTCTGTTTGACTGCGTCTACATTTTCTTTGCCTATTGTCCGTAATTGTTCTTGGCAGTATTCCATATTTTGCATAATGTGAATTGTTTTGTCAAGTGTTAACTTATCACCTTCGTTGATCAATTTTTCCCTGGCTTTTGGGTTATTTATCCCAAAAACAATTCTGTCACGGATCATTTCTTCCGGCTTGTCGAATTGACAATCTCTAACCCTTATCCGTAGTCGTGTCAGGAAAGAGTCGAAGTTGTCTGAACCCTGCGTTTCGTTATAAAATTTAAACCTGGCAAAGATGGGGTTGAGTTTTGGCTGTACATAATTTCGAAACCGTGTGTAGTATGTTTCTAATTTTTTCTGGTCTTCTGCTGATATATCGCCCCATGTTTGGCGGACTTCTCTGCCCCTGCTTCCTACCCAGATTAATAGGTAGCTGACTTTCTGCTCTTCACTCTTCTCCAGTAACGGGCCGTTGAATATTAATTTTGCATGCTCTTCAAACTTTTGCCATTCGTCTGGCAAATTGGTACTATCCCAATTTATATTCGGCGGTGGAATTCCCTCCATTGTTCTAACAATTGTTTATAATATATGAGAGCTTTATAATCCTTTTTTCACTTTTTTTTTTAATCCGTTTTTTTCTTCTGACACCATGTAATATTTCTTATGTAATTTATGTACGTATATTTATTATGGATACGGAGTTCAGTAATTCACAAATGTGAATAGATTGAAGTAAGAACACAGATGTGAGCTTTTCAAGTTTAATCTCAGAACTGGCTAGTGGCGGGAATCGCCTGTCTATACATAAGAACTGCCCATTCAAGCATTAATGGAATAGTACTGATAGTATAAAGGTCAAGGTAAAATAATCATGCAGGTTAAACTAGTATCTGATATCGTTACATCCGTAACAGTATCCGTCAGTGTTGGTGTCCAACTAAATATTTATTCAGTAATTTGGCAGCTAGTAATTTTACTAAACGTTGAAATATTGGGCTATTTTGTGTATGTGCAATATCTTTCCTCTAGAAGAATCCAGCTTTGTCACGTCAAATATTTTGACCATAGGAACTCGAGAACGGGACCGCAGATTGCGGCGTATATTTTCGATCTTGTAACGGTTTTTAAATACGTTTCTGCTACATCTAAATATCTTTTAGTATTATCCGAGTGTATGGACTCAAAAAATATATCATCAATTGAACCCAATCTGTCTTCTTTAAAATTGGTCAAATTTTACGGTATTATAAAAAAGACAAGGAGTGACATCCGCCATTTGCCGCAACGTTTTCGGCATGAGTTTTTCCCCTTTGGCTACAATTGATTACTATTTTTTCAGAATTTTGTTCCCGTTATTTTTGTCAACTATCAGGTATCGTCCGGATATAACGTTAACGGTTTATTGTTTGTTCACGTGTTGACATGTATAGGCGGCATTATAACGGGCGTATTCGTGTATTGATTTGTTAAAATGGAGAAAACAGACACTTTAGTAATATGGTCCAACTGATTTTGTCTAACTGAAAAATGGAATATTTAAACATGATCCATAGATAAATATTTTAGGCACTCATCTCTTATTCATTACTAGAAAAATTAAAACAAAAATCAAGCATATCAAGGGGGGTAACTTACGCCGAACGTTGCGGCAAATGGCGGATGTCACTCCTTTTCTTTTTTCAATATACCGTATATTTGACTGATTTTTAAATTAGCAGATTATACTTAATTGAGATTAGATAGTTAAAGACCACCCGCTCGCATAATATGAAAAGATATTCAAAGGTCGGACAAACAATATGTAAAGCCGGTACGGATTCGGATTTATGCGCCGCAGTATGCGGTCCTGTTCCAGAGTTCCTATGATTTTGACAAGGAAGAAGCATGTAGACAGGTGTCCTGTAACTAGGTCAAAAGGATTTTCGCAATTAAATCCAATTCTACACTACAGTATACCTCTCCAAGTAATAACATTTGAATTTATCCATTTGAAATGTTAATTTATTTATAAGTTCTTTTTAAAATACTTACCAGTTGCATCTGATATTTGAGTCATTTTTGAAGCAAGTCTATTCTCTCTGCTTGCAACAATGGCGTATCTTTGTAAGGTTTCCTTCAATACACTGGGCATGCGCAGAGTAACGAACTTACTAAATTTCCATGACGTCACTGCGTGTATCTGGCGCGTAGCACGCACACACGTGTACATGTACATTTTCACATCCACTTTTTCCTCTTGTTTCATTGATTTGTAAATGAGTATTGATGACTAATTTTGTTTTTTCTACCAAGTCATTTAATTTTATTCTTTTATATGTGATATAATAAGTTGTTTTTTTATGGCTTTTATTTAAGAAATAATATGTCCAAAACTACGGTGTTCCGTTTGGACAATCGTAAAATTTTCTTTATTTAGTCTGTACGGTCCGCGATGCATGATGGCACGTTGGTGAAAACGCGATGGCACGATGGTACGATGGTAAAAACGCGATGGTACGATGACGAAAACGATATGGTACGATGGTGAAATCGCGATGGCGCGATAGTACGATGGTGAAAACGCGATGTTTCACCATAGAACCACGGATTTATATTATAATATAAATCCGCGATATAACCATCTTGTTTTTACAATCGCACCATCGCGCTGGACATCGGGTTTTCACCATCGTACCATCGCGCTTAAAATCACCACCGTACCATCGCGTTTTCACGATCGTGTCATTGCGTTTTCACCATCGTACCATCGCGACGACAAGATGGTGAAAACTCGATGAATGAATCGATTTCACAACAGTGAAAGAGCGATGGTACGATGGTGGAAACGCGTTGACACGATGGTGAAAACGCGATAGTATGATGGTGAAATCGTGATGGAACGATCGTGAAAACGCGATATATCATCGCGTTTCACCATCATACCATCGCGACATCGTGATTTCACCATTTTATTTTTGAATGGATTATCTTCAAACTTAGACATGATAACCTTTTAGGATACACAAGATAGACCTTGACCTTACTCATAAATGACCTTGGCCTTGAAGGTCAAATGATTGAAATTTTCATTTTTTTTTTGGCTGTAGATAACTGGCTTTAATTGTTATTACTAAATGGATTGATTTAATATTATAACAGAACATTCATTCAAGACCTTCATGTATATCAAACTCAAATTGACCTTGGCTCATTTATGACATTGACCTTGAAGGTTGAATTATTGAATTTTCATTGATTTTTACTGCAACTAACTGTAACTTGGTAGTTAATAAATGGATTATCTTCATACTTTGACAAAACAACATTTTTGTCAAGACCTTCTGAAAGGTTGAACTGAACTTGGTTAAATTGGCATAAATTAGTTATTTATGTACGGATTTTAGTTTAAACATAGTTTATTTCAAACAAGTATACACATTTACAATTTACAAACAGAACTTTACAACACATGAAATGAATGAAAAAGGATCAGAACCGAAAGCTGATGCTTATATAGGTCTTATCCTAGTTTTTATTTGCTAAATATTGGCAGTGTGTATATGTATGTACATGGATATGCTTGAAAGTACAATGAGTAATTATGTAATAAGAATGGATTTTATATTAAATACAAAACATATGAGTTCGTAGTTGGTTAGAAGAAGGTTTTGTAAAATAATCAACTATCTGAAAAAGAGAGGAAAAGAAGAAATAAGATAGCAGAGAAAAGAAGATATTTCAAGACGGCACTAACAGTATGGCATTGATAAAAGAAGGGTATCTTAAGTAAATCGCTTGCTTTTGCTGATATAATCTTGAACAGTAAGAAAAATATTACAGTTAGTATTATCACTCATGTTACAGTCGCCATGTAGTAGTGTGTGCAACGTTATAGTACAGTAGTTTGATAAGGTGTTCATGAAACTTTCTCTTATTCCATTATAAAGTGGGCAAATAAAAAAGTAATGGTGTGTAGTTTCACTAAGACCACAGCTACATAGTTCTGACTGAGAAATGTTTTTTTCTGAAAAGATGGTGATTAAGTGAACTACATCCGGTACGAAGCCGTGTGTGTAGAACTTGCAGTTTTCTATTCCCAATGTAAAAATAATTTGGACATTTTAGATTATGTTTCAATTTGTATCTAAAAGATGATAGTGATGAAGAATTTCGAATTTCAGAGGAAAGTTCATTCCAGTCCCGTATTACGGACGGCTAAAAGGAATTTTCATAAAGCGTTGTTCTTGTGCGTACGGTTTGGATGTCCTCGGCATTTCGTAAGTTATATCTTGAAGTATTTCCTACGGATGGCGGGACTAGAGACGAAAGATAATTTGGTGTGAGATCGTGAGTCATCTTGTAAAAAAGTATTAGCTTGTGATTTTTTCTTCGAGTATGGATTTGAGTTAAACTTAAATAAAATAAGAATGGCTACCAAACAAACAAATTGAATAATTAAGATGTGACCTTCACCTTTCATTGACCTTGACTGTCTAGGTCAAATTAATGAAATTCTCTTGTTTTTTTTTCTGTAACTGGCTATAATTAACTTTGTAATTTATCAATGGATATACATGCACAGTGCGTTAACTGGAATGCAGGTTATTAGTTACCCGCACTCCAGAGCATGCTCATTGATTGGCTCATTTTTGCTGGGGTTTACTTATTGTGACGGCAGAGAAAGGGAAAGCGATATAAGTTTCATATTCAGATGCTCGTTCATTGGTTACTTTTTTCTGGGGTTTCATATTGTGACAACAGGGAACGTGCTTTATGTTTAACTATGATATAAAAGAGAAAGAACATCAAAACACTCGGCAATCTAGGCCCCCGAGCAAATCAGATAGCCTCGTGTTTCGATGCTCTTTCTATGCATTACTTAATATCATGAGATCTTTAATGCCAGAACCGTCATGTATATTAAACTCAAATTGACCTTGACTCATGTATGACCCTGACGTTGAAGGTCAATTTATTTTATTTTCACCGATTATTGCTATAGATCTAATTGGCTGTAACTTTATTTATGAATGGATAATTTTCATACTTGGACAAAACAACCTTTTGGACAAGATTTCAAGGTTGAACTGAACTTAATCTTTAGCTTTAACTGACCACAACTGTCAAGGTCAAAGTATTGAATTTTGGTTAAGTTGTCATAATTTTGTTATACATGTATGAATTTGATTCAAACGTGGACAAAACAACACTTGTGGCCAAACAGACATATAGAATAATTTGGAGATGACCTTGACCTTTGCCCGGTGGTTGCTCTTGTTAATGATTACATGTCTAATGGTTACATCACATGTCTAAATATAAAACGTCAACCATGATTTTATGGCATAACAACACACACTTTCGGTCGGTAGTTCACCATTATATATTTGAACAACAACCACCGACAAAATTACTCACGACGTTGAAACTCGACGATCCTAGCCTTTGTGTGATGTTCATCTTATGAAGTGGACTAATTTAACGAAAAATAAACACTACTTACATGTTTATATTCAATATGAAAATATCACTTTATTCCATCATTAATATATATTTCAAAACAATAACCGCTTTCTTTGATTTATCCAACATACCACTCTTTTAGAAGTAGTAACTGTATGACTATCCCTACAGACAGCAGTTAGGACATTAAAGCCCTGTAAGAACTCGTAGTTATAATATATCTGTTTGACAAGATATCACTATTTCTTTCTTTACAAAAAGCAAATAAATAAATAAATAAATAAATAAATAAATAAATAAATAAATAAATAAATAAATAAATAAATAAACAAGATATGTTTGTTAAACATGTATGCCCCCTATCAGCAGTCATGTGGTCAGGTTATTGTGACTGACTTTTGACCTAGTGACCAAAAAGTCAATAGGGGTTATCTACTGGTCATGACTAGTCACTAGGTAATTGTGACCTTAAAGGTTGTGTGCAGCAATTTTATGACGAAGTTATCGCAAATCTTACTAAATGGTATATGCATACATTTTATGAATCACGTAGGCCTGCTTAAAGACAGCCAATTTGTTGTATTACATAAGATCTTGAAATGTGTATACCAAAGGCATTTTTCCTAAAATCAATAGGGGTTATCTGCTGGCCAAGACCAATGCACCTTTGAAGTTTGAAGGTGAAAAGGCCCATGAGTTGTTGAGACATTGATCAGAAAGCGTTTATACCTATAAGGTCAATGTGATCTTGACCTCTAATCCCTTGGCTCCAAAAATCCATTTAGGTTATCTTCTTACCAAAAGCAATGCATCTGTGAAGTTTGAAGGGCAAGGGTTCATGGGTTGTCCAGCTATTGATAGGAAACCGTTCTGACATACAAGGTCAATGTGACATTTTAGAGTGGTAAATTTGATGGTTTATGTACATCACCTTTGATCTTGATATTTGTTACAAACTATCAAAGTACTTCTAGACATTTTTTTATATACTTTTATTATAAAAATGTGTAAGTGTATTTATTGAGTATATATATATGTTTCTTTTAACCTGTATAAAATCAATCAGTCCATCAGTCATTAAGATATTATAAATCAAATTATTTAATGATGAATTATTTATATAAAGTATCATCCTAATGAACACTTTAAAGGCCCATTATGCCCATGAAATGTCTTTTTTTATTCCTCCAAACCTTTTTATTTTTGGTGTCCTGTTATAGTTTCCAAAAAGGTTACTCACTGGCTATTTACCTGAACCATCTTATTCTTCTGTTGCTTTTTGGGTCATATTTTCAGGTATTTTAAGTATTTTATTTCTAATCATATTTAGTATTTTAGCCATTAATTACATAAACATGTAGAAACAATTAAATAAAAATTAAACCCGTTTTTCTTTCTAAATTAGAGGCGTGAGAGATATGTAAATAATGTTAAAAGAAAGAGAACGAAAATATAGTTGACTTTTTTTTTTAAGAAGTTAAATAGCTGGTTAAATTTCCTGCAATTTAAGAGTTTAGACTGATATGGATCTTAAGAAGCAAGTTGCGTTTCATACGTTAATGGGTTTTTACTCTAATTTTAATACTCTCCTTTAGATGTTGAATCCTCTCCTTTATCCATTAAACATGAAAAGGGCGACATAAGATATTTAGTTACCTTCTTAAAATAGTACGAACACTAACAAGTAAGTTAACCTCTTGCAACAGAAAAAAACGATAAAAAGTGCCAGTTAGCGTCAGTGGTTCATACGGGAATCGAACCCGCAAAGTTTTGTGTGACAGACAAATTTTGAACCATTTCAAAGCGAAGTAACCACTCGACTATGCCGACACCCACCTGTATGAGGTTTAACTAAATATATATAATGTATACTCTCTGCTGAGATCGTTATTTTCTATTTTTAGATAACTATGTTAATATAGCATGATCACGTGACTAATGTTATCTTATGTACATATATTTATTTCATTCAGTGAGATACTAAATTCAAAATTTATAGGTCTTCTTTTGGTTGATGGAATCAGTCCACAGTTATTTGCCTTTCGTTGACCACAATAAGGAAGTAAATCCGCATAAAAGAGTGCCTGTGTTTAATGCCAGACATAAATGAATAATTGAATGAAAGAGATAGAAAAAAGGCCATTTCCTGACAGAATTCATTTCAAATAGTTGGTAAATGCCAATTTTGATCCAGATTTTATGCGAGTAAGTATTTTTTTAGTGTTTTTCTACATGACAGAACTCACATGGTTCCGGCTAATTACTGAAAACTGTCAGACTGATGCATTTTGAACTGAAATGCTGTGGAAAAATGATGCATGACCCCTAGTTTGCTATAGCTGGAATTATTTATCTTGGATGGTACTGTAAGCACAAGTGACTTTGATTTGATTGGAGAGTTAGTAAAATTGCCAGAGGGTTTAATGTTTATATAGAACATATAGTGAAATTAATTGTGGTCTGAGGCTAGTCCAACTAATTAGACTTGTCAAAGAGACACCGAGAAAATTTTGGACGGGCGCTGTCTTTTTCCAACAGTTTGACAGTAAGAAAGAAAAGTCTGTAAAATGGGTCAAACCGTTCACGCCAAATTAATTAGGCTAGTCTGAGGCCTGATAGTAACATTTATAAGAACATGAATGGTGACATGTCCGGGGTCCGTACTCTCAGTGTCTGAAAGGGCGGATGGACCCTCATAAAGCCTAGAATACATACCTACATATATTTTAAACAAGACGTATATCTTTAAAAAAAATACTCGGCCGAAATAAAACTGGTTAACTTGCACACGTAAGTTCTTAGTTTTCCATACAAAGTGATATAGAAATGCTAGCATAGCTTGCAAATCAATGACGTAAACTTGCAGGGTTGTTAATTTTGGAAAATGGAACACTTAAAGATGTATTGTATACTGGTATGTGTTTCTTAGCAAACCTGTCGTGTTTCGGTAAGTGAACCAACATCAATCTAAGCAGTCGGTAAGGCAACTTTTTTTTAATATGCAAAAAATATATAATTTATAAACACTATATCAACTGAACACATCAATAATCATATAATATATATGGCACTTATTGAATATCATAAAGAAACTCTGATAAGTTCTGATGTTATTCTCATTATTTTGGACAAAATCAAAAAATTAGATCTTTTGTAACATCAGCTCTAAGTAGGTTCTTACTTAAAAAAACTTTTCACTAGAAAATGTTATAAGATCTGAATGCAAGAATATATAATAAAGTTGACTTTTTAGAATAAAAGTGCCAGTTTGCGTCAGTGGCTCATACGGGAATCGAACCCGCAAAGTTTTGTTCCCATAACAAATTTGAATCCATTTCAAGAGCGAAGTAACCACTCGACTACGCCAGCACTAGAAATATTGTCGACAAAATTATAGTATTTAAACTATCGCGAAAATAGCGCCGATTGATTTAAATACCGTCTGCCTATGTTTTAAGAGTTTAGATCTTAGCAATGCGGAAATATGATTCACATTACCATGATTTATTATAAAAACATGTTTATGATACATTACACTTAAAATAACAATAAATACACATGTACACGGATGGAAATTTCAAAGGCTATGTGCACACATATATATATAGACCTTATTTATGGTTTTCCCTATATTTATGACATTAGACTGATATGGATCTTAAGAAGCAAGTTGCGTTTCATACGTTAATGGGTTTTTACTCTAATTTTAATACTCTCCTTTAGATGTTGAATCCTCTCCTTTATCCATTAAACATGAAAAGGGCGACATAAGCTATTTAGTTACCTTCTTAAATTAGTACGAACCCTTTGTAGTGAATACTAAAAAGTAAGTTAAAATGCAACAGAAAAAAGCGATAAAAAGTGCCAGTTTGCGTCAGTGGTTCATACGGGAATCGAACCCGCAAAGTTTTGTTTCAAAGACAAATTTTGATCCATTTCAAAGCGAAGTAACCACTCGACTATGCCGACACCCAACTAAATGTGGTTTAAGTAAATATATATAATGAGATCGTTATTTTCTATTTTTAGATAATTATGTTAATATAGTATGATCACGTGACTAAAGATATCTAATGTATATATATATATATATATTCTAAACAAGAAGTATCTTTAAAATAAGATACTCGGCCGAAGTAAAACTGGTTAAATGAATTTGTTAGTTCTTATAGTTTTCCATGCAAATTTATATAGAAATGTTAGCATACCTTGCATATCAATTACATCAATTACGTAAACTTGTAGGCTTATTAATCTTCGAAAATAGAACACTTTAAGATGTATGTGTTTCTAAACAAACCGGTCAGTAAACTAACATCCACGCAGCCGTAAGGCTTTTTTGAAGATATGCCAAATATATATATATATATATATATAATATATATATATATATATATATATATATATATATATATATATATATATATATATATATATATATATATATATATATATATATATATATATATATATATATATATCAACATTATAAACACTATATCAATTGAACACATCAATAATATCATATCTTATTACATGCTTTTCGGTGGTTTATAGAAATATATCAGTGACATAAAACTGGTAATTTCACTGTTTGAAACAGTGAAATTACCACTTTGATAATTTCACTGTTTTGAACTTAAGCCCCTTACGTTGTTTCAGTGAAATACCAGCGTGCATAGTACTGGGTACCAACTTAATGACGTGACGTCGTAAATGACGTCACGTTGTATTATTATTTGGCGCGCTTTTCATTCAGTATTAGGCTTAATGTCTCTTTAAAACGTTTCTTTGCATGTAATAAAAAGAAAATTTGTTTAGTTTAGTGTAAGATCGATATATTTCACCTTGTGAACACCAAAAGTTCATATTTCACTCGTGGCTGCGCCACTCGTGAAATATACCTTTTGGTGTTCACTCGGTGAAATATATTACGATCTTACACTGAACTAAACAAATATCCTCTATATATATATGCCACTTATCGAATATCATAAAGTAACTCTGATAAGTTCTGATGTTATTCTCATTATTTTGGACAAAAATAAAAACATAGATCTTGTGTTACATAAGCTCTAAGTAAGTTCTTACGTAAAATAAACTGTTCACTTGGAAATGTAATGAGAATTGTAAGAAGAATGGTTAAACAGGACTAAAAAATCTGAGTAATTTAAATAGAAAGTTAAAGAACTGTCATGTACATTTTATTTTAGAACTATCTTTTACATTTTATTCTATAATGGCAAGAACTATATCTACATTTTAGATTAGAACTATCCTTTACATTTTATTTTAGAATGGCAAATGAGATTCCCAGATTTCATTATGTAATTTTAAAGTGACCAATGAAAACTCTGATATTCAGTTCTTCCCTGTAAATTTTACAGGAAGTCAAACTGAAAACAGACCTGCCTTTGACCGGAAAAATATCAACAGATGTCAATTTCACATGATAGCGCACATTGAAAATGTCGAACAATATGCAAGTTTAGCAACTTAATAAGGGGTATATTATGAACATTTACATAACAAGATTTATGTGCCTAATTATTTTTTATAATCACGGGATATAGGTAAGCAAGTACCGTGGAGACAATCTGCCGAATTAGCCCCATATTTTATTCAATATTTATGTTATAATGAGGACAGTGCGACTGTTGTATCGATTAGATTATCCTCCTTATTAACTGCACCGAGCGATATCGATTATTGATTTCATTAATGTTTTCAAATGGAAACTATCAACGAAAAACATTTGAAGAGCTATAAGCCACCCCCTACGTTACTGGAAAGCGATATAAATATATAGTGTAGTGGTTAGCATACTGGACCGCCAAACCAGAGACCCGTGGTTCGAGTCCCTGGCTGCGGCGTGCCTATTTTTCGTGCGATTTTTCTATGTATAATTTCCCGCTCATGACTTTCTTTATAAATATCTCTTTGTTTGAGCGTTTTCTTTTACCTCGTGGACACATGTGTGTCCCAAAGCTTGTTGGCGTGTATGTTTGATCCATTGGAGGCCTGAACAGAACATGAAAAACGTAAAAGGCATTGATAAATACGCGTGATCGACGAAAGGTATCCCATCAGAACGCACTTCTTCTTCAGACATCTCGAGACAAACCATAAGCTTAACAAAGCCTAAATACCAAGACAAAATACCCCCTGCCCCCCAAAAAAAAAAACAACAACAAAAAAACCCCCAAAAAACAAACAACCCCCCCCCCCAAAACAAAAAAAAAACAAAAACAACATAAACAAAAAACAACAACAACAAAAACCCACAGTGAAATAAGTTAAACGGCAAAAGTGTTTAAGGATAGAATAGTTGCATTTTTTATCTAACTAAAGTGATTAAGGTATCTGCCTCTCATCAGAAGTCATGGGTTTTGAGTACCCATCTTTCTTTTCATATTACACCAATTCTGGTTGGATGAGAAATGTGACAAAATAATATAATATATTTAACATATAACATATTTAACAGAACATAACTAAATAATAATGTTGAAAATATCCTTCTCTTACAGCCGACAAACTGGAGAATGTGAATTGTATAAACATTAATTTAATCACAAAAATTCTAGTGATATACGAGTAATCAATCTCTGTGAATGACGAATGTTTAATATTCTATAAATGTTGTTTCTCTCTCTATTAATATCTGTGTTTAAGAGTCTTTCTGTAGTAAATTTCATTCCACCAATGTTTGAATTTTATTTGTTTACTCTTTGATGCTTTGTCCAGACTCTTAACATTGATTTTGAGTGCATGTAAACGGCATTGATGCTGTACAAACTGTTTTTGTTGCTGGGCAACAAGATATGCTGGTGCAGGCCCGTACTGGGCATGCGCATTCATCGCCAGATAAGCAGGCGTAGAATATTACGCCAATTAAGTGACAACCTGAACTGTGTGTTCGGACTTGAAATGATTTGTCCTTGGTTTGCGTAATGGATTTGACTAGTTGACATCAGACGTTTTAGGGATATTCTTCTATTTTCTATCAGGAGACTGGAGCACAAAAAGCACATTACAGCTGATACGACACAGAGTCCGAATGAAAAGCTGAGATTTTCAACCATCATTGCACCATAAAGTGACACACCGGCCAATATACACACACCTGAAACATAGAAATTAATACAACAAATAAATAAATAAATAAATTAATTAATAAAATCTATACTTATAAATAAAAAAGACCATAATATAAACAGTTTATATCAGGCATTCAAAAAGTTTCCACTAGACTAGCTACCTAATTTCAAATAACGATATATCGTTGATATATCGTGTTCCGATATATCGTTACAAATAATGACAACCCCAGCTCCACGTTGGACAAAGACACAACCACAGACAAATTTTGCAATCACATTTTATACAGATGCAAGTATTTTGTCAATTTAAAATAAATGATACCTTAAAGCAGCATGCCTCCAGATGAGCGAAAATATTTCAATAACTCAAACTTGTGAAAAAAGTACTAAGATTTTAAGCAAAAGAGAAATATTCAATATTCAAGTAAAAATGTACATGTTATGAGCGATTATTGGTGAATGTTTCATTAATAGTAACTATATTTCTACTGTGTTACTAACGCAGTATTGGCATTTTTTTTGCATATATTGACCTCGTTTTGTAATAAACGTGGGTTGTAAGTGCCATTGATAATGTGTAAAATGATTGCTTTTGGTTACTTTACAACAATATGCATTTGATTTCATTTTCAAAATTTACATGAAAACAAGCATTAATCTTGAGGCGTGCTGCTTTAATGAAAAAAGGTTGGTATTTAGATTCTGTTTTACAGTACATGAAAGATATATACCTACCAGCAAATAGCATAAGCATGATTCCCCACATCTTGATAGCTATACTTTGTGTGCAGAAAAACTGCATGAATATCAGAAATTCAACACAGATAATTGCAATAAGACCTATAACCTCCAGGGCTTGCACACATTTCAGCCACCCTATAATAGATAAAATTGGAAAGTATATGTATATATATGGAATCATCTAGATATGAAATAAACTAATAAAACTTATAAACCTTTCCGCTCATTACATTTTACATATCTGGCAATTAGTACTATTTTTATGTTAAGATTGAAAACACAATTGTATGCTTTATTTTATTTACTAATTTTGCGAGTTATTTAACAGGAGAAATAATATTGTTTTCATTGATAAACTGAATAGTTAATTATACACCAATCGATATTTACGCCGGGTCCCCACTCTGGGGTACCAACCCTCCGGTAAAGGTCAGTAAAATGGCTCATGACATTTACTCGGCAGTGCATGTACGGACTGGAAGGTAAAAACTTTACTTATTTCCACACATTCATTCCCCCTATGCAATGTCTTTGGGACCGGGTTAACAAATAACTGGTGTATTACAAGTAATAGAAAGAGCACCGAAACACGAGGCTATCTGATTTGTACGAGGGGGCGTAGCCCCCGAGTATAAATCAGATTGCCGAGTGTTTTGGTGTTCTTTCTCTTTTGTATCATAGTCAAACATAAAAACACGTTCCCTGTTGTCACAATTTTAAACCCCGGGAAAAAGTAACCAATGATCGAGCATCTGAATATGATATTTCTGCCGCTTTCCGTTTCTCTGCCGTCACAATATGTAAAAATGAGCCAATCAACGGGCATGATCTGGAGTGCGGGTAACTGATACCTGCACTCCAGTTACCGCACTATGCATGTATATGTATACAATTTAACTCTGACACTTTTTCAACAGAAAGGTCCCAAAACTATGATACAATAAAATTTAATGTACCTTGTGCCATATTTGAATCTGAAGCACAAACACATTTTTCACCGAAGAAAGTCAAGCACGAACAGGATCGGAACAAACCACTGTGATATCGACTTTGGAATGCACCGTCCTCATGTTGAACCCAAAATGTAGTCCCAATACCCACACAGTGTACGATGAACGCCACACCCAACACAACAGCACACACCTTTAATACATTCGAGCTGTCTGAAAATATTCTACAACTGTCGACCATTTTAGTAATTGTTACTTGTACATCAAATGTGTTGATAATATCCTCCAATAACTGTTCACCATTCCAGTTACCTTTTTCTTCTTAAATTTTGAGTCAAACACAGCTTTATAAATAAACCAATGTCACAGTTGATGATAAACTTATTCAAGAGGCTGTCTCGGTCGATACCAGATCGATATATTAAAGTGAGTGTATTCAATATTAAAATGATTTTCTTTGATAAATTGCTATTGTGTTAGTCGCCCCTTTTATACGTATGGCTCCAGTAAAATTTATTATCACACTTTTTAAGTTTTTATAGATCTCTATCGTGATAAATTATTTTATTTCCTTCATTTGTTGAATATTGTAATGTAACACTCTAATATCCAGTTTTCAGACCACCTATAGACCACCTTCCATATTTATCTAAAAAACAATATCTTCAAGATAATGATAGTTCTTAAACATATGCGGATAGTTATTGTTGTAATGTTTAAGTTATATTTGGAGAAAAAAAGGATACAAGCACGGATAAAATCCACAATGATTTACCTGTTCAGCCTTAAAATCGTTCACTTCTCTAAACATTTACTTACACAATTTACGTCACTCTCAATGTGCACCTTTGTAAAATGTATATGTAATTATATATAATAAATAAATCGATTATTATTTATGCTAAATTTCAGAAATTAAATGATAATGAACTTGTAATGTATTTAATGTTCTTAAAACGATTTTTAACCACAATTAATTTCATCATTGAAAATTAAGTACGAGTAATACAAATGTGGTAGATCTATAATTACATGTATGAATATATTATTTCGCGCGTTTGCATTGCATACAAGTTCTTTTAAATATAAGCAAAAAATTCTACTCCTAACCATGACTAATAATTGTATCTTTTAGAAACGTTTCTCATGTACAGTTATAATTTATGTTGTGAATTTTTGCTGAGTCACTACATCTTGATAAGATGGTGGTGGGGGTTCTAATGTTATTTCGTCATGTGTTGGTGGTAGATCATCAGTATTTTGAGAATGATTCAGACTGGATGCATGGTCTGGTTGTGAAATTGTTGAGTTAGTTAAAATTTGTGGAACGTATGTCTCTACTTCAACAACTCGTCGGCTTTCAATATCATTTTCCCGGTGAACGCAGCTATCAGTGGAATGCCGAGGTTTCCGATCATTGTGGATGAGGAACACACAAATTATACACAGTATACCAGCAATCGTACATAAAATGTATGAATAGTCAAAATTTCTGACCATTTTGGAGCCATAGATTACAATACCTATCAGTATTGACGCTCCTGAAACAAAGACATAATTGTTCTAGTAAATGAAATACTGTAAGAATATCTTATTTAGATCAAGCGAATAGCCACTCAGTTGCAGTTAAAAGTTATCTTCTATACGCAAATGTTATTTTAGCTCAACGTTTAAGGAAAAAGCAGGGCTATTGTCACGACCCGCACGTCGGCGTTGTCATCGGTTCAACTTTTTTGGTAAAGTATTCGTTTATGATCTTTTACTACTGTACTAACTAAGCTATTACATGTATGGAGTGGCTGCTCTAGTATAAATAAATTTTTACCTACCTGATGCCAGTGTTAAGATTGCTGCTGACGATTTAAAATGAGTTCTTCGTGATGAGACACATTGTATGATGAATACAGCACCAGCAATTACAACACATATGAGACCAAGCCATTCCAGCACTCTCACATATGTTAACCAAGCTGAAATAACAAAATATATACAAGGCCAGATTTTTTAAAATATTTTCATTCTATTTTTTTAAACTTCCAAAATATGTTATAGACTCTGAGTTACAGCATAAGTTACAAACACCCTTTGGTAAACAGCTGGACGAGTACACCGTGTAATTTGTAACGTAGGAAAGTGAAAACTATTCAAGATGAATTGTGCACAAAAATCTAAACAAACAACACGGTAAGTTAACAAAATAATATATTATAGTACTTCAAATTAAAGGATAGGGCTGCTAAGGCATTATTTTTTACCCTCATTACAAATATTTTCAGGAAATATCATTTTGCAGAACTATTTGTATAAAATATTATTCAGTTTTTATGTTTATTTTATTTTTTTATGACAAAACTCAAAATATGTATAAAATATAAAAAAAAGAAATAAAAGTATTACACGTTTTATTATAATACTTAACAAAGTCATCTGCAATGCAGTGTCCAGGTTGTCATTCTCACAAATCATATTTGTAAAATAGTATAAAGATATTTTTGTCTTAGCACCCGTACTTATTTTAGCATAACATTTATTGGTCTATTTACTTACCGTGTTATTTGCTTCAGTCATAGATATGCACAGTACGGCGTTATTTCCGCACAAGTCCTGCGTTAATATGACATTTGTACGTTACGGGATGTTTTTTTTTGGGTTGGGTTTTACGTCGCACCAAGAAAGAAAGGCCATATGTACGTGCATTATTTCAGGCAAGAACGGGCACCTGAGTAAAACCACCGGGGTCCCGTAAGCTAGCTGGATAGCTTCCTCAAATGAAAAAATCATAAGTCCCTGGAGGGACTCGAACATAGAGCGGAGAAAGACAAGTGGTTTTAGCCCACTCGGTTACGGTATGTATACGGTGGATTAATTCTTTATTAATTTTCGAACACGCCATTCGTAAGTATAGGGTGCCAAATTATCTAGGCTATATGGAGCTTAAACAGTTATTCACAAAGCAGTGGAGTATAAACAAGAGCTGTCGGTAGGACAGCAACGCTCAACTATTCTTAGTGCCTGATAGTAAAAGAGCCTTGATAATGTAAAATTTTCTGAGTTAATAACAAAAGGACAAATTTTTTCTTTAAATCCATGTTACAGTTATAGACCTTGGAGAGAGTCCTATTATGCTCTCAAAGAAGAGTATAAAATAACAACTTGTTTCAATAGAATATGAAAATATCTGAGGTGGTATGCAAACCTAAATGTAAATTCTAAGTTGAAAAAAGGGCATAATTCTGTCTAAATGCTTGCCTGTCTACAGGTTGGTGTTATAATGGTGACCAAGTGTAAAGTTTTAAAGCCATATGTCAATGGACTTTGAAAATATTTGAGGTATTACAAAAACTTTAACGTAAATTCTATGTCGAAAAAGGGGTATAATTCTGTCAAAATGCTTGATACAGTTACCTCCTCCTGTCTACAGGTTGGGGTAATGATGGTGAACAAGTGTCCAAAGTTTCAAAGCCATATGTCAATGGACTTTGAAAATATTTGAGGTATTACAAAAACTTTAACGTAAATCTAAGTTGAAAAAAGGGGGAAAATTCTGTTAAAATGCTCGATAAAGTTACCTCCTCCTGTCTGCAAGCAGGGCCATGAGGATGAACAAGAGTGCAAAGTTTCAAAGCCATGTATGTCAATGGATGAAAATATTTGAGGTATTACAAAAACTTTAACATAAGTGGTTACGCCGACACCGACGCCGACGCTCGGGTGACTACAATAGCTCTACTTATTCTGATCGAATAGTCGAGCTAAAAAATACTGACCTGTGACTGGCACGGCAACAGACTGACAAAAACAATCATCATTTCCGAAATAACACAGACATAGTTTCCACAACCCGCTATGAACTTTAAATACATAATTTCCACCAACTTCGATTTTCACCCAATGATTGGTACCTAAACCTACACTCTGTAGAACAAATATTATAATCAAAAGAATTATATTCGCTTTAAAATATCCAGAACTGTTACACTCCAACATATTGCATTGTTCTGGTATATGTGTATTATCCCCTAAGTTGATGTAGAAAATGAAATGCAAAACACGAGTATTTACACATATCAGCATTTAGCAGCAGACACATAGGTAGAAACGACTTACAGGTTAGTAGAAGAGAGTGTTCTTGATAGAAAATATATCTAGTTATATTAGATGATCAGTGTATTTTGTAACTCGACATAACATTATGATCTACGTATATAACCGAGCTATATCGAATGAAAAAAATACGAGTTGCTTCCCTTATCTTGGAGTAAATTGATATCAATACAAAATAAGCTTTTTTAAACCGCTAGTTTGTTATGATTAAATGTCCGATTTTAAAATGTATTACACCAATACTAAGCTTTGGCTCTTAGCTTCATCACAGTATAAAATTCAACACATCTTTGGACTTCAAAGTATTTAAATTAACTGTTAAACCTACCGTATGTCAGACCATTTTGTATACGATTTATACAGTGATTTATACAGTGAGATACGCAACCCGTTATTTTTATCAAACATTTCAAACATGCGTTGGATATCTTCCATGTTCTCAATTCCAAAGATGATAAGCCCAACAACTATAAATATAACTGCAAAAGAGATGTAATCATTAAAATAAAGATATACATATCATTAATAAGAAGAACTATTAGACGGTAAATGAACAACGTGTTACTATATACAAACAATAACTATTTCTTCCGTAAAGAGTTTGACATGTGTCACTTTGCTATGAATTAACGATTGCCTGGCTGGCAAAGTACCACGTTATTAGTAATACAAGTGGAAATAGTCTACATATAATATATCACTTTCATGAGGTATCAACTAAAAACAACACAAAATAGTGACAAACATTCTTTCTTTGAAAGATATATTTTATTGATGAACAAATAAGCGACACAAACATAGCAATGTCGGACTTTCGTTTTGTCGTCCTGTCGCTAGCGACAACGCGGCACGCCAAACGGCGCGTTGTCGTGCGGCGCATTGTCGCGATGTCGCCCTGTCGTTTGGCTTAAAAGCCAATACTTCAATTTGAACCGGGCGACAATGTGACATCGCGACAACGCGCCGTTTGGCGTACCGCGCTAGAGACAGGACGACAAGACGACAGCGCGCCGTTTGGCGCTTTGTCGTTAGCGCCAACGCGACGCACAAAAGCGTACCAATTCAGCCACCATACAAGCCAAATCAGCCACCATAGGCTTGGGTTACGACCATGTTTTTTCATATAACACCAATACTGGTTGGATGAGAAAACTGACGAAATAATATCATATAATATGATATATAGAGGATATTTGTTTGTTTTGCATGTAAGATTGAAATATAATTTCACTGAGTGAACACCAGATGCAATATTTTCACGAGTGGCGTAGCCACGAGTAAAAATATAATAGCTGGTGTTCACGAATGAAATATATTTCAATCTTATAATTATGTAAAACAAATAAATTTTCTTTTTATTTCATGCTATTTAAGTGATTTTAAGTATTTTTTTTACTGATTTTGCCGCATAACGTCGCGCATTCTCCTTTGTGACGACATCACATCATGACGTCACATCATCAATTTTGAAATATAGGTCTGTTAAATTTCTCTAATTTTGTTACATTTTTAACATGATGTATGGTGACATCGACTTTCTTTTCCTAAAGAAGCAAAATTTACGCATGACAGCATTTATCTCTGCCTTATATTCCATTTAGTTATGATTCTCTTTTCATCCGCATTCAGATATAGTCCGGCTACAGTGAAAATTATATTTTATAAATTTCACTAGTGGTTTATCAGAATATAATCATCTGATATATTACAATAAAACACTGGAAAGCATGAAATAAACATGTATAATATACTATATTTAACATATAACATATTTTAACAGAACATAACTAAATAATAATGTTTAAAATATCCTTCTCTTACAGCCGACTAACTGAAGAATGTGAATTGTATAAACATTAATTTAATCACAAAAATTCTAGTGATATACGAGTAAGCAATCTCTGTGAATGACGAATGTTTAATATTCTATAAATGTTGTTTCTCTCTCTATCAATATCTATATTTAAGAGTCTTTCTGAATAGTAATTTTTATTCCGTCAATGTGTGACCTTATTTGTTTACTTTTTGATGCTTTGTCCCGACTCTTCACATTAATGTTCATGTGTGCATGGAAACGTCATTAATGATGTACAAACTGTCTTTGTTGTTGGGCAACAAGATATGCTGGTGGAGGCCCGTACTGGGCATGCGCATTCATCGCCGGATAAGCAGGCGGTTGCATTTGATTAGAATAAGCAATGACAACCTGTGTGTTTGGACTTGAAATGATTTGTCCTTGATTTGCGTAATGGATTTGACTGGTTGACATCGGGCGTTTTAGGGATATTCTTCTATCTTGAAACAGAAAAATGGAGCACAAGAAGCACATTACTGCTGATACGACACAGAGTCCGAATGAAAAGCTGAGATTTGCAACCATCATTGCACCATAAAGTGAAACACCGGCCAATATACACACACCTGAAACATATGGACAAAAGAATCATTGCTTAATGTTATTTATTTTTATGTTGTCTATATACATGCAGTTAATTTGCTGTTGTTTTTTTGTTACATTTACAGCGTTAATTTTGTAATTTGATACATATACGAGTCCCTTAACACTTTTATGACTAGCTAATGAACCCTTAACTTAATTGCCAGAGGTAAATGGGATTGTAAAAAGAAACACATTATTTATTTTATTATGTTTTATTTGTTTAATGTATATGTCTAAAACAATAATGAAAAAAGACCATAATATAAACAGTTTATATCAGGCATTCAAAAAGTTTCCACTGGACTAGCTACCTAATTTTAAATATCGATATATCATCGATATATCGTAGTTCGATATATCGTTGCAGATAATGACAGCCCTAGCTCCACGTTGGACAAAAAGACAATCACAGATAAATTTTGCAATCACATTATACATAGATACAAGTATTTTGTCAATTTAAAATAGATGATACCGTAATGCAAAAAGGTGGTATTTAAATTCTGTTTCACAGTACATGAAAGATATATCATATACCTACCAGCAAATATCATAAGCATGATCCCCCATATCTTGATAGCTATACTTTGTGTGCAGAAAAACTGCATGAATATCAGAAATCCAACACAGATGATTGCAATAAGACCTATAACCTCTAGGGCTTGCACACATTTCAGCCACCCTATAATAAATAAAATTGGAAAGTACATGTATATTTATGGAATCTTCTAGATATGAAATAAACTAATTAAACTTATAAACCCTTCCGCTCATTACATTTTACATATCTGGCAATTAGTTCTATTTTTATGTAAAGATTGAAAACGCAATTGTATGCTTTATTTTATTTACTAATTATGCGAGTTATTTCATTGATAAACTGAATAGTTAATTATACACCAGTCGATATTTACGCCGGCCCCAACTCTGGGGATAACTTTTAATTTTACCAACCCTCCAGTAAAGCTCAGCCTTGTGTAGGCAATCACCCGGTAAAATTCCATTTGTCATTTCGGCTCATGACATTTACTCGGCTGTGCATGGACTACTGGAAGGTAAAAACGCTACTTATTTCCACATTCATTCCCCCTATGCAATGTGTCTGGAACCGGGTTAACAAATAACTGGTGTATTGCAATAAAATTAAATGTACCTGGGGCCATATTTGAATATGAAGCACAAACACATGTTTCACCGAAGAAGGTAAAGCACGAACAGGATCGGAACAAACCACTGTGATATCGACTTTGGAATGCACTGTCTTCATGTTTAAACCAAAATGTAGTCCCAATACCCACACAGTGTACGATGAACGCCACACCCAACACAACAGCACACACCTTTAATACATTCGAACTGTTTGAAAATATTCTACAACTGTCAACCATTTCGGTAACGTTACTTGTAGATCAAATGTGTTGATAATATCCTCCAAAAACTGTCCACCATTCCGGTTACCTTTTTATCTTACATTTTGAGTTAAGCACAGCTTTATAAATAAACCAATGTCACAGTTGATGATTGAACTTATTCAAGAGTCTGTCTCGGTCGATATAGAAACATACAGGTGTTAAGTTTTACCTGAAGAATCGATATATTAAAGGGAGTGTACTCAATATTAAAATGATTTTCATTGATGAATTGCTATTGTGTTAGTCGCCCCTTTTTATTCGTATGGCTCCAGTAATTTTATTATCATATTTATAAGGTTCTTTTTAAGTTTTTATATCTTTTATCTTGATAGATTATTATATTTCCTCCATTTGTTGAATATCGTAATGTAACACTCTAATATCCCGTTTACAGACCACCTTCCATATTTGTTTTCCCATAATCTTCAAGAAAATGCAAGTTCCCAAATATATGCGGATAGTATTGTTGTAAAGTTTAAGTCATATTTGGAGAAAAAAAAAAGATACAAGCACGGATAAAATCCACAATGATTTTGTTTGATCTATTTACCTGTTCAGCCTTAAAATCGATCACTTTTCTAAACATTTACCATTCTAAAATTGTTACACGTTTAAAATGTGTTTATAATTGTATATAATAAATAAATCGATTATTATTTATGCTACATTTCAGAAATTAAATGATGATGAACTTGTAATGTATTTAATGTTCTTAACACGATTTTTAACCACAATTAATTTCATCATTGAAAATTAAGTACTAGTAATACAAATGTGGTAGATCTATAATTACATGTATGAATATATTATTTCGCGCGTTTGCATTGCATACAAGTTCTTTGAAATTCTACTCCTAACCATGACTAATAATTGTATCTTTTAGAAACGTTTCTCATCTACAGCTATAATTTATGTTGTGAATTTTTGCTGAGTCACTACATCGTGATAAGATGGTGGTGGGGGTTCTAATGTTATTTCGTCATATGTTGGTGGTAAATCATCAATATTTTGAGAATGATTCAGACTGGATGCATGGTCTGGTTGTGAAATTGTTGAGTTAGTTAAAATTTGTGGAACATCTGTCTCTACCTCAATAACTCCTCGGCTTTCAATATTATTTTCCCGGTGAACGCTGCTGTCAGTGGAATGCCGAGGTTTCCGATCATTGTGGATGAGAACCGAACAAATTATACACAGTATACCAGCTATCGTACATAAAATGTATGAATAGTCAAAATTTCTGA